ATCTATAGGTTTCTCGTTTAAAGTTCTTTTTGTTGGATTTATACAAACAGTATGGTTCTTACTGTCTTGAAATAGAAACTCATCTGTCATTGGGTTTAATGTCAGTTTTAAGTTTCCTTCTTTCAATGACTCAGATATCTTAGAATAGTTTGAAAAGTTTGTTGTGTTCTTATTTAGAGCTTGCAAAATGAGTTGTCGTTGTGTTGTATTTCTCTCATAGACGCTGTTTCTTTCGACATTTTTATTCTAGATAAAATATGCTTTCAATAGAAAAAGAAAATTCAAGAGTTGCTACAACTAAACCATTAGATGAACTTTTTACTAATGTCGGTCAAAAGTTTGAGACAGAGACCGTAAAGCATGAAGGCTATCGTTTTGACTACCCACTAAGATGGCTAAGAGACCCATCCGTCACAAAAGCTATTGGCTTTCGTAGAATGAAGTTCATTTCAGAAGCCATACATGGTTTCCCATTTACGGTCGCTTTTGAAATTCGATACTATAACAAAGAAAAACATACGTATGAGAAATTTGAACAGGGAAAACTTTTACAAGTGAATTTGCTTGTAAACTTAGAAACAACTCTTCAAGCTTTTCAAGAAAAAATAAACGATATCTATCTCGAATATGCAAACCAGTATAACATTGACGAAGGAGAGTACCATCTCGATATTATTTATGACAGGAAAAATGCAACTGTTAAAATCAATAGAATAGAAGACCTTGGAGAAAACGTTTATATTTCTACAAAATATAACAACTTGGCATGGTATAGATTTATGAGGATGTTAAATCAGCCTGCAGCATATCCAGTACACCCAGACTTTTATGAAGTCGAAAACCCTAATGGAACATATGAAAATGTTTTCGACCAAGATGCTATTATTGTTCATGCTTCATTTTCTGGCGCCCAAAACTCTTTCTTATGCTTGGCAAATGACTTTTACGAAAAACCTACAAAGTTATACGAACCACCAAGTGGAAGTATTTCAGACTTTCAAGTATGGTTTACTACAGATGGAAGAAAAAGAATAATTCCATTATACCATGCGTTTTACTTAGAACTTAGTTTCATATACAACTACTATCGAACGGTAAAAATATAATTTTAATACGGTTGAGGTGTTGGATTTGGTTGCCAACTAGACTGTGGTGCAGGTTCAGGCTGTTGTATAACAGGAGCTTGTTCTTCTGGTTCAGGGTCTTTAGGTATAATACCAACGAACTGACCTACTCTTTTACCAATATTTTTGACTCCGTTCCAAATTCCTCTTCCGACAGATTTTATTCCATTCCATATACCTCTTCCAACATTTCGAAAGAAGTTTCCTATTCTTCCAAAGAAACCCATTTTACTATATGTAAAAATCTAATGTCCGCCTAGTCTCTTACGTTTCCTTCTGAGTTCCATAGCATTTTTTAACTGGAGCTCATACATTCTATTTCTCCTCTGGTAGAAAACATACTCTGGGTCAACTCCTGTGTTCGCGTCATCTGCATAGAGTTGTTTATATCCCACTTCAGGGTTTGTATAAAACTCTTTCCATCTCATATTTGCATACCATGGTGGCAAACCTAACGCAGCGTCATTTGACATGGCAGTTTGCATTTGTACATCTGTTGGCACTTGACCATAGTTTGCCATTGCAGTTTGTATTCTAACTTCATTTGGAATATTCTCTGGGTTTGGTTGTCCAGGTTGCTGTGCATTTGCTAAGTTCTGTGCGTCCATTTAATATTAGATAAAAATATCTCTTACGAGTACATATACTGGACATTTGCAGGCATTGGTTCATCTTCATATTCTCTATATCTTTCTGCCACGTCAAATAAGTAAATGACACAATGGAAAAAACCTAAAACAAGTAGTCCTATTTCAAACCACATTTACTTACTAGTAAAATTTCTTTGTTATGACACTTTTTCCGGTTTATAGGACCTCTCTCATATTCTATCTTATCGTATCTAAACTCATAGTCATGTATGTCCTCTAACCATCTCATGACACTTTCCAAACCACTTTTATCGGATGTAAAGTAAAAGCATGGATGGTTATGTAAAACGTCTAAAGTTTCTAAAGAGTCTCTCAAAGTCCAGTCTACTTGGTATTGAAAATCCCATGTGTTATAGAACGGCGGGTCCACTATAAAGAAAACATTTTCCTTGTCTTTATATTTTTCATACAACTCTGTCCAATGACATCTCACAAACTCTATACCCTCAATATATTTTTCTATGTTCTCTTTGAAAACATTTGTATAGTTAAGATATAAAACTTTTGACATAAGTGTTTCAATGTCATGAACTCTTATAGCACCACTATATAATAGTCTAGCAGATATACTATCCCAGTCTATATATTCTGCTTTTTTCAAAACCTCTCTGACAGTATTTTTCTTATCTAATGGTATACGTTCCATCTTACCTATAGGTATCTTTTCTTTTAACTCTTTCAATATTTTGTTTGTGTCTGGTATATGTTTGAGACGGTTCATATAGTTGTCGAAGTCATTGCATATAATCTTTGAGTCAGGAAATATTGTATGGCACAAATGAGATATATAGAAACTTCCACCGAACAAGTCTACAAATGTTAGACCATTCGGTAGTTTCTTAAGTTCTCTCAATAGAATATCTTTACATCTACTCTTATTTCCAAAGAAGGGTAACGGTGGTTTTGTAAAATTCATTTTATATATATAATAAAAATGTTTTTACCTGAAAAGTGACAGAAAAGCGGTTTTTGACAGATGTTTTGTTGAGATTTCTTCGTAAAGACTTTGTTGAGATTTCTTCGTAAATGACCCAAAAATATATTTTAGGTGAAGAGGTGAGATTTCACCTCTTTTTTCACCTCATTTCTCACCTCTTGAATTTTCATGAATTTCTTCGTAAAGACTTTGTTAAGACTTCTTCATCTAATTTCTCATGAACTTTCTTGTCTATGTTTTGTCAAGATTTCTTCGTAAAGACTTTGTTGAGATTTCTTCGTAAAGACTTTGTCAAGATTTCATCGTAAAGACTTTGTTGAGATTTCTTCGTAAATGACCCTAGTAGTATATTTTTGGTGTAAATTTCATGAAAATTCAAGAGGGTGAAAAATTAGGTGAAAAAACAGGTGAAATCTCACCTCTTCACCTAAAATATATTTTTGGTGTAAAATTCAAGAGGGAAAAATTAGGTGAAAAAACAGGTGAAATCTCACCTCTTCACCTAAAATATATTTTTGTCTGATTTTACGAAGAAGTCTTGACAAAACATTTACGAAGAAGAAGTTTTGACAAAGTCTTTACGATGAAGTTTTGACAAAGTCTTTACGATGAAATCTTGACAAAGTCTTTACGATGAAATCTTGACAAAGTCTTTACGAAGAAGTCTTGACAAAACATTTACGAAGAAGAAGTCTTGACAAAACATTTACGAAGAAGTCTTGACAAAACATTTACGAAGAAGAAGTCTTGACAAAACATTTACGAAGAAGTCTTGACAAAACATTTACGAAGAAGAAGTCTTGACAAAACATGAAAATATATAATTTGTGAAAAGTGAAACATTATATAATGTTTTCGACCAAGAAGACTAACAATTTTCCGAATAAAAACTTCATTTATACTAAACATCTTCGGGGCTAGAAGGCACGAAGTGCCTGGAAGCCCCACTACCTTTTTTTTTTTTTTTTTTTTTTTTTTTTTTTTTTTTTTTTTTTTTTTTTTTTTTTTTTTTTTTTTTTTTTTTTTTTTTTTTTTTTTTTTTTTTTTTTTCTTCTAAAGATGACTACGCACCTATTGCATGCTTTGATTCTCCTTTTGAGTTTGAAATAATTTCGACAAATTTTTTGAATAATTCTGATGAAAAATATTTAATTTACGCACGAAATTCATCTTTCTTATTCAATTACTGCTGTTTTATTAATAATTCATTACCAAAGTATTTTTTCTTTTGTTTGACAGAAAATGATAAAATTCATATCAGAAAGTGTTATATTTCTACAGAGAATCCTATTAACATTAATAATGTAATAATTACAGATAGAATTGAAATGCATTCAAACAAACTCTCATGCAATTTTGAAATGAAAACTTATTTAGTTATTTTCCGAAATACATTGCACTTTGACTTGCTTATTATAACGATAAACATAATATTTATTTCCGATCTACTTTAATAAAAAAAAAGATTAAATATTGTCATTAACATCAAATTTCATGAAATCATGCTTTATTCTCGTCAACATATCATCTCGCAAAGATAACATAGTTTAAATTAAATCAACGTTTCAGTTTGAATAAAAGATACAGAACTTTTAACTTATTATTTTAAATTTATATTTTTTTAAATTCAATTTTTCAGAACTTTTAACTTATTCAAATTTTCCATTCTACGATTATTGTTGATTCAAATGTATCTTGTAATTATTATTAAGATAATTTTGATTTCATATACTTTTAGAGCGATAAAGTCCCAGTAATAAAAGTATACAAAATTTATTTAATCAATTTTTGAAGGCATTCAAAATAGCATTAACTTGAAATCATATTCTTTGCATGTAAACCTTTCAGTTATATTACATAAAAATAATCCTCGACTCAATTTCGGTGTAAAAAAATTTATGATTTTTGAAATAAAATCGGAGTAAACACTACCAACAATATTTTGAAAAATAAAATTAAATAAAAATACAAATTTAATTTTCAATTCATCTGAATGATTGAGATGTGTTTGTTTGATATACTCAATTTTTGCTTTATCTCAACGATATCGAATTTTATCAAATTTTATATGATGTTAGAGTTTTGACATTTTAAAAGATTAGATTTCATTTTCCTGGATTAAACATATTGAATATTTTGAAATTTATTTTTCTGAATACTATTGTAAACATCATATAATTTTTTATTATTATTCTCCATAAATGTGATACCGGATTCTTCTTTATCCATCAAATAATTTATCGTAATTTTATTCAAATTTTTATGATCTTCTGAAAATCAATTCATTTAATGTATATTCTTTTCTACAGTAATCTTGTTGTAAAAGCAGAAAATGGTATTGATAAAAGTGGAACATTAAGTCCAGGTCAATATCAAGTTGAATGTCGTGGAGCACAAGGAAGAAGTTTTCCTAGTAATGCGGGTGGTTGTGGATCAAAAGTAACTGCTCAATTCAAAGTGATAAATACAATGCATTATGATTTAAAGCCTGGTACAGAAGGTACTTCACTTACAGCAGGATATCCTGATGGAGGAAAAGCATCAAGTTTAAGCTATGGCAATGGTGGTGGTTCAAGTAAAGCTACTTTTCGTAGTGATGAAAATTATTTTATGATTGCTGCAGGTGGTTCTGGAGCAAGTGAAAATTTTCGCGGCGCCCATGGAGGAGGAAATAACACATATTTTATTAAAAAAACTTCTGGAATTCTGTTTGATGAGTTGAGTGATACAGCATATTTAGATGCGCCTGACTCTTATCATCCAGGATGGGCACTAGAAGGATCTGGCGGTGGAGGTGGTTGTATGATAGGTAAAGGTGGATTTAAAAACGGCGGAAATCGTTTTTCAGAAATTGGTGTTAGTGGAACATCATGTCATTCATCTGGAAATTTCTTCAGAAATATTGATATAAAAAGTGGTGATTATGATTTATTTCAAGGTGATGGATATGTTGAGTTAACATACGATTATTTATGCATGACTAATTGCATTGACTGTGATAGTTCTTCTTCGTGTAATAGATGTGATTCTTCTCATGTCCTTTATAATAATGGATGTAGCTTAACCAATTGTCCGGAGTCATATTATAATAATAGTGGAAGGTGCTACGCATGCATAGCACACTGTAAAATATGTTCAAATAGCAACAGTTGCCGCAGCTGCAAATCTTCATATTTGCTTTATGGCGGAAGATGTGATAGAACTACATGTCCTCCCTTTACATACAACAACAGCAACGTATGCGATAGCTGCATTACAAACCGTGAACAATGTTCAGATGGCAACAGTTGCCGCAACTGCAAATCTCCATATTTGCTTTATGGCGGAAGATGTGATAGAACTACATGTCCTCTCTCTACATACAAAAATGGTAACCAATGTGATAACTGTATAAAATTCTGTAAGCAATGCACAAATAGTAGTATTTGTCTTAATTGCACATCTTCATATGTTCTTAGACACGGAAATTGTACTCTCCAACAATGTTTCAATAACAAAAATGGTAATTGTTCATCTATCCTATCTACAGAAAATCTTTATAATTTCGGTATTTATTCCTTGACCAAAAAATATTATAGAAAATGAATTTATTCATTTTTGTTTGTGCGATCTGCAAAACTTTTTCAAACACATTGGACAGACTTTATATTTTATCAAAATCCAAATTAATTTGAAATCTCATAATTTTAGAATATAATCAATTACGATTTGATTTGAAATTATATATGCGTTGTTTGTTTAATAAATTGGATATTTTAAGATATGTTTTATTTATTTACATACAAATTTAATATAATTTTTTTTAATCATCATTTTCTACTGTATTAATCTTACTAACCAACTGTGGATCATCTTCCATTTCATCCAGAAACTGTTCAAGTGCTCTGTCGTCTTCTTTTGTTGTTGGAGCGAGAGTAAGAACTTTTTTATTACGAGAATTCTTCTTTTCGTCTCTCGCTTTGTTGACAATGATGACTCTCTCGAAATCAATCTTCTTAATCTGTTTCTCAGCCTCGTCTGTGAAGCTTTCCGAACGAAGATCGTAGCAATTGACAACGTTGCCGATTTCAATGGTATTTCCTAGATGGCTTCGAACAACTATTCTGTCTCCGTATGTTTCTTCGTCTGTAAGTTCAAAATCGGCCAATGTGAAATCACCATTTTTGGAAATTTCGTCTTTTGAGAGGACAACAAACCTCGTAAGACGATCATGAGAGATAAGAGGATCGATTGAGTTGGAAAATATCGACTTGGAGTCAAGAACAAAATTATGGCCAGTAAGGGGATTGACAAAATGAATTTGCCTGCCCATCTTTGAGACAAGACATAAGCGCGATTGTCTACCTGTGGATTCGAATATCTTCTTAGGAAGTAAAACTAAATCTTCTCTTGATATCGAAGGAATCGTAAGAGAATATGAGTATCTAATATCATAAGACATATTAACTAAGTCTTGTCCTTTAACTGTATCGGAGTTCTTAACGGAAACTGGAATAATTGATTTGATAAATGAAATGAATTTCTTTGCATCGCTATTATCGTTAAATTGGAAATCTAATCCATCAGGACGTCTTTCTATCGCAGAGGTTTCTTTTGCGGCTTCGTTGTTTATAATCATTTGTTCAATCCAAAACATTGAACGCTTAGAATCAGAATGCTGACGTAATTGAACAATTGCTTTCCAATGATCTCTATGTGTAGCTAGCTCTTGGCATGTTTTACATTGAACTGTTTTAACAATATAAGTGACAATTGTAGATTGGCGAAGAATTGTTCCACTAAAATCTTCGCGATCTACAGTAACTTGAACACGTAATCTTTTGGAGTGAGGTTCTGTCCAAAGAAACTTAGCGTCTCTGATTTTGAGATTTGGTGAAAATTTTTTAATGCAAATTTGAAGTAATTCTTTCGACTCAAGTTCAGCATTAACCCAATGCGTCAGAGATTCTTGGTATCTACCACAGTCTCTGCAATAATTTATCTCTAATTGTTCAGGAACGCCTTCCTTTTGATTTAGACGCCTCCTGAAGCATTCAACACACATATTATTAGGATTTGGTTCAATCATTATTCCACATATACAACAAGGAATTTTGACAGCTGTTTGTTGAAAATCCATCGAAATAAAAATTTTTAGATTTGCAAGCATTCGGACATTAGAAATACCTTTACTCGTATCCATATATAAACATTTAATATGCGAAAAGGCCCGGAAATTGACAAAAGTAATTCAAAATCAAAATAATTAGATCAAATAGATTTGATTTGTAGTTTAATGTGTATAATTTTGGGTTTAAACAATATAATCTAAGGAATTTTTATTGCCGGGACCGGTAATAATTCGAAAATTTTAAACGTGCTTTTAAAAATGAAAATTAATAATGTTGTTTTCATTTCCATCATTTATATAGAAAATTTAGACAATCAAAAATTTTGTTTGAATACTCAGAATTTTGAAAGTTGTTAGAAATTTTTACCGATTTTGGTCCAAGTATTATATCCTAGATAACTTGTTCCACGTCAAAAGGATAAAGATAACTAAACAGAATTGAATCGTATTGTATACGAAATTTGATATATAACCTTGGATAAGATAAAACAGTTCATAAATTTTCGCAAAAAATTTCAATTCATCAAGGGTGCACACGAGAGGATCATGTAAACTTCAGAATTTAGAACCTTATTTTTAGGCATTATCTTGGCTACCTATTTAGGCTCGAAAAGCAAAAAATATCAAAAAATACAACTTGACTCCATTATGACCCTTTCATGGAGGTAGTTTTTATCCGCTAGTATTTTCCCTTTGAATCTCTTTACAATTCGAAATCAAATTCAAAACTCAGTAGAAGAAAGGAAGAATCGACTTACTACGGTTGTAATACGAATAAATACATATATTTAATTATTTTTATTTACATAATAATTGTTTGAAGCTCATATTCCATCAAATTTTTAAATAAAAACATTAAAATGTTGCAAATGTTCATATATTTTAATAGGGTTTTGGCACTTTATTGAGGAATTACTACATACATAGTCGAACTGAACTTGATATTTTGAAATTTAAATTATTTATCAAAATTAAAATTTAACTTGAAATTTATAATTATTTAGTCATATTTTGCATAATTCTAAGTAGATTTTGTAAAAAATCAAGAAAGAAAAATTTTAACGTGCTTTATTTTTTCTTTTTTATAATAATACATATTATTATATAATTAACATATTCATAATGTTTCACCCTTTCAAAAATATAATCCTCCTCCTCTCAAATAAACGTACATACGGGTGGCCTCTTTTTTCAAAAAATTAAAATTTGAAATTTTGGGCTCAAATATTAGAGATTTTTTCAACCTTCAACGATATATGTTGTCTATATCAGACCTCCTTTCTTTTTGATACTTAACATTGTTCCTAAATCTTAGCCGTTAAGGCTGTTTTGAAAATATTTTTTTTTCGACAAAATTCGAAAAAAATTCTTAAAATTCAAAAATCCCTTAATTCCTGAGGATTTTGGAAAAAAATTTTTACATGAACATGTGTATATAGGGCTGTACAAGATTTAAAAAAACATTGCCGGGTTACCGTAGAGGCCTAAAAAAATCGCGCCTCGGCGGCAAGCCGCCTCGGCATTAAGAATGCGCATCTAAATTTTTATATGTCCTTCTTTCTTTTATTTTTCCCTTCCCTTTCTTTTCTTTTTCTTTTTTTCCCTCCTCTTGCTCTCATTTACCTTTTTTTCCTTTTCTCATCATTTTTCAAAAATTTAAATTTTTATCAAAAATCTTGCCTATAAAAGCAGACTATGGAACCTTTTAATGCCTCTTAATCAATATTATACAGCATAAAGCATATTAAATGAAAGTAATTACGTATAAATTTATTTTTATTATCTTATTTATTAATTCTTTAGCATGTATTGTTTAATATTAACTTTTCTGTACATTAAATATGATATCTCCAAAGTATGAATGCCTTGTAACGAAACGAAAACTTAATTTTATGTTGAATATTTGTCACAAACATTAGATTATTAAAATATATGTTGGATATCCCTTAGTATGAGACTTCATGACTCTTGTAGTCTAACGTGAGCTTTGGATTGCAAGCTCTGTGGTTAACGAACATAAATTAATTGTAAAGTTTTCAAAAATTTTCATCGTTTCTATCAGCATCTATTTTTCCTTTAAAATAATTATTTGTATGAATACAATATTTAGTAATTTTTTTATTTCCCATAATTTCATTCAAAATTTCAGAAAAAATTAATTTCTATTCAATATTATTTCAGCTTCAAAACACTTCATTCTTATAGATGTTGATTCACTAAAGTGTGATACTCAATGTCTTATTTCAATGAAAATTGTTCTGCAAATTTATTTCACTTTTGACCTCACTTTTTCCGTAATTCAATTTTTTACTTTTAATATTTTAGATCTTCATAATATCATTTGAAAAATTAACCATATAAAAAAATCAAGTTAACAATTCACTTTTTCCGTAATTCAAAAATCAAAAATATAAATAATATATCTTTTTATCAAATATTATTATTATATTCTATGAAAAATGAGGTCCGGAAATTTTGCGGATTCCCGTAACTCAATTTTACGGAAAAAGTGCAGTAAACTATTCAAAATACGGAAAAATTGGTGTAAACTAATGATTTTACGGTAAAATCACGGAAAGTCCCGGAAGAATATATGTGCCTATATGAAATTATACAAAAATGAATCAAACGCATTTTAAAAGATTGTTCTTGTATTATAAATGCTATTCGCAGATTTATTAGTTGAAGAAAATTACCAAATTTTTGCCGATTTACAAAAAATGATTTACAAAGCATATTTTTATAAGGCTTTAAAAATCTTTAAAATGTGACCGGTGACGGAAATCCATGGTAACCAACCGCTAGGGTTGTTAGATTCCCGACGATAGGTGTCTTGGAAGATTTGCCTGGTGTTATCATAGTGTCTTTAAATCAAAAATTTTATTTTGGAGTTAGTTTTATTGATTTTTCAATAAAAAACATTTCTAAAACAGGAAAATAAAACGATAAAATATTTAGATTTTATATAAGGATCTTATATATTTAAAATAAATATCATATCATTTTTTTCATTGGTATCTGTCAAACCATAATACACTATTCAAAAATTCAATGTGTCTTGCGGTTTCAAAAGACACCTTCAAATTGAACGACAACACAGACACTATTGAATTTTACCCATTTTATTTAGTTTTTACCCTTTTTATTTTTAAAAATTAATGACTGAAATGTTGTAAACAGAAATTCATCAAAAGTGACACCTCAGAAAAGCTAAAATATTGAATTTTTGGAACTTTTGATAGAGCACGTTTTTAAATATTAATTAAAGTAAATGTATATTTTGTACAGATTCTTTTTAATAAAAAAATAAAATTTTGAAGAAGAACACAAAATCTTCTGAAAAATAATATCACATAAACTCATATTATTTTCTAATATATAACTATTTTATATAAAAATCAAATTCAATGATCTTAAAAGCGAAGGATAAACCTCAAAATTTACGAATATAATGAGTGGGAATATAATGCTTATCTATCATAAAACCATATGAAATATCAATTTTTGCTTTACGCCTATTCCACTCATTATATTCGTAAATTTTGAGGTTTATCCTTCGCTTTTAAGATCATTGAATTTGATTTTTATATAAAATAGTTATATATTAGAAAATAATATGAGTTTATGTGATATTATTTTTCAGAAGATTTCATTCTATATGCCTATGAAAAGTACTCTCAAAACTAACTTTTCCTAATTATAATTAAATCTAGAATATTGTATTATGCTTAGTATTATTTCATTTTTCTCATTCAATTTAGAATTTACAAATGTCAAAAAATTGAGAGCTGTCACTTTTGATGAATTTCTGTTTATTACAGAAACAGCCGTTTTGCTATGACCTCAATCACTTTTATTTATTATTTTAAATATTATTTAATTTTATTATTTGAATAGGCCAACTTATATTTGAGAAGCTCAATTTGAGACCACTTAATACATTGAAATATCATAAATATTGAAATATTAAAAAGTGTATTTCAAAATATTGAAATTATAAAAATTTATAATACTGAAATTGAGACAAATTAATAAATTCAATGTGTTTTTCTTTTAAATAACTCTCAAATATTATTTTTTGTTTATTTAATGATGAATAAATATGATTGCTTTAGTCAATCATAAAAACTAATTTAAGTTTAAAATAATGAAAGGATAATTTGATCGTTTTTTAAAATACAATTATTTTTGATGATTTGTGAGAATCTTTAAAAAGAATATAATATATGTTCTATTTTTGTAAAATTTATCCAAATCATGTATTACATAAATTACGATTAAAACAATGAAAGAACCAAAAAGTGTGTTTTGTGTTTTGTTGTTGCGTGTTGGATGCGGGATCCTGTTATTTCCGAAATCGACAAAAAATTTGGAAATTTAATTTCCGAAATCGAAATTATATTAATGTTTTTAATATTCTTATATCAAAAGGATTAAAGTTCATTAAGAGAAAAACAATTCTTCTTCTTCAATCTATTGGCGCATTTATTTCTACACGCCAATAAGGAAGGGAAAATTATAAGACACCATGGTGTCTTCAAAACGCTAATTTTTGATATTTTTAACAACCCTAGTAAAAATCAAATTTTATTGCATATTCATCGAGAAAATAAACTAACGAATCCCTCAAAATTGAGAGGGTAATCCTCCTCCTCTCAAATAAACGTTCATACGGGTGCACCCTTAAAAATTTTGAGTAGGGGAATTTTAACCAAATTTTTAAATGACCAAAAGACAAGATAAAAAGAATCTCGTCCACCCAACTATTAGCGTAAATTTATTTTCAATAAACTATTTTCAGTGAGTTTATCAATTTTCAAAATTACTCTCAATTTTTCTTAACCTTTAATTATTGAGCTGATTATTTCATTTTAAAATCGTAGATAGATGTTTGATAAATCATCGATATCCAGAATTAGAATCCCTAACGAAGTCGGGCGCTATAAAATCATTCGAAAGTTAGGAAGCGGTGGATTTGCAGTTGTTTTTCTCGCCGTAGATAAAAGATCAAATGAAAAATTTGCAATTAAGATCGTTGATAGGGAAGCTGTTCTAAAACAAGGAATGCTTAAATATTTAGAGACAGAATTAAGACTTAGTACGCGTTTTGATCATCCGAATATCGTTAAGACTTATGAAATCATTTATGAGCAAGATATCATTCTAATAGTCATGGAATATCTTCCTAACGGAGATCTTCACGAGTGCATCACAAAACTACAGAAATTTACCTTCGAAGACGAATTACGTATTTCTCGACAAATTCTTGATGCTTTGCAATACCTTCATAGTCGTGGTATCTGCCATAGAGATGTTAAGCCAAGCAATATTTTATTTGACGCTGAAATGAACGCAAAATTAATAGATTTTGGAATGTCTCGTGATAATTGTTCATCATTAGAAACCCTTTGTGGCACAGCGTTTTTCATGCCTCCAGAAGTCATAACGTCAAAGCATTATGACGGAATGAAGGCCGATATATTTAGTCTCGGAGTAACTTTGCATCTGATGTCTACTTTTACATATCCGTTCAAGGTCAGTAGCGAAACCCAGTATATTAATGATATCACAAAAAATAAAATTAATGTTGACGTGAAAGTTGACGGTTTGATGGGAAATGTCATAAGGAACTGCTTATTCTTTGATCCGAACCAAAGACACACTGCACAACAGTTAATAGAATATATTGATAGTAGTAGGAAGCATTTCATCAATTTCTGTGACTGTAAAGAAGAATGTAAGAAGATAAAAGGATTTTCCTTGCCAAAACTTAATTCTCAGTCTAATTTCAAGAGGACAATAAATATTTCAAGGAATGACAAGATACTTCTCCGAAATCGCGAGATTAATAACTATCCAATAACCCGTTCACGTAGTATTGATTTCGGGAAACAGAATATTCGTATAAAAAAAATATATTCTTGAATTTTAGAGAAATGATCTCTTAGTTTTGTATATTTATTTATACGAATATTCTAATATCTATTATGTTATGTGATCGAATAAAGCGCTGTTATATATTTTTAAATATTAATGAAAATAAAAAAGAATAAGAAAATATTTTCTATTTTTGCTTAGATAAGTGAGTAATAGCTTATTATTCTTTTTAGCTTGTGAGCAAAAAAATATAAAATTTTTTTTCAAAGTATGTTCTGTAATTAAAATTGAAAGCTTTTAAGAAAAGTGATTATTAGGTAAATAGAAAGAGATAGTAGATTAATGTGTAAGAACATTAATTTGATTTAACGGTCTTACTTGTTCTCAAATATTTGAGAAAGAGAGGATTGTTTTCAAAATTTTGAGAATACATTGAAAAAGAAAATGCTAATTTATATTAAAACATAAATTAATGGAAAATAACTCATTTAATACTAAGGCATTGTAATAGTTTTGAAAATAAAAATAAATTGAGATATTTTCAATTTATTGATAATGGAGCAATCTTACAAGTTTTATATGGTGAGATATTGATGTGAAGATTTTATAGTTAATCGTTAAAGAATTTCTTTTGAAAATGAAAACTAAATAAATATTAATAAATTATCAAATTAACCAAAATTAATTTTAGAGTAAAGCATTCGGCTATTTAATTGAATGATATTCAAATCTAAAATTTAATATCGCAAGGTCAAATCATATGAATTATGATCTTATTTTAATTTTTTATATTTCAATATTTATCAAATTTTGAAAAAGTATTTAAAATTATTCATTCAATGAACATGCTTGCATATCCATTATACTTCCAATACTATATTCCAAAGATCCAACCTCCAAAAGTTAAAAAAAACAAATACTAGCCAGAGTATTAGGGATCATGAAAGAATTCACAAAAGAATTTCTAAATTGGGCTCGAAAGTTACTATTGTTTCTGCTTATCTTGAAGGCATATATGGACAAAAGATTACGTTCTCTTTATTACTGACTTATGCAAACGATATATCTCGCAAACTTAACATCAGACTAGATAGATTGGCAAGGAGATATAGACAGGGTATCTTATGTTGGTTTGCAGAAAACTGGTCAGCCATCCATCCTTTAATACAGTCATCTGATTACCTCCACAACCTTGTCAAACCACAAAGGAAAACTGAAGAATTAAATTCGAATATTGATATTACGGATTTGAATCACCTCTTAAATGCTCATTAGCATATGTATTAATTAATTATAGTGTTTTAATAAATAATTTTCATGAGATTATTCATTTTATTTTTTGTCATACCAGAATATTTTTTGATAAGAACATTAAAGATTTTTGAATGACTCGACCATTTATAATTTTATTTCAGAAATATTGATGAAACGATTTAATAGATCAAATCTAAGAATAGCAAATAATAGTTTGAAAATTATCGGTTAAGATTGAAATAGATTATTTTCAAAGAAATATTTATCCAATATATACTGATTCAGATTGTTGACAAAAAGAATCAAAAATTAACATTTCGAATGGCAAATGTTTCAAGAAAAAATGCGATTTCAATTTGAAAGCAATTCAAATAATATATTTTAGTGATTAATGTGATGCAATAATTGGCATCATTAATTTTCATCCAATGATTTCGAATTCAAATTCAAAAATATTCTTTTCAAATCAATAAGAATATAGATATTATCCATCAAATACATTATTTAAATTTGTAAAATATATAATTTTAGCAACAAAAACATCCAATTTTCAAAATATTTCCCAAAATGATAATTGAACTTATTTTATTAAATTATGTAATAATTTTATATATTTGAATTCATCGGACTAATAATATACTTATATTCTTCAAGTGAAAATTTATTTTGGAAATCGTTTTGAATTGATGTTTATGTAATAGTAAATTGGATAATTGATACCACACAGTTTCAAATTGTGAGAAATAAATTTCTTAACTTTAAAGTTATTTGTAAAAAATAATTATATCTAAAATTAAATAGCTCTTTGTTAAATGTATAAATTCAACATTATTGTTAGTATTTGATCACATCTTTCTTTTTAGCTAAACTTTTTTTCATATCATAAAATAAAGAAAAGTGAAGAATTGAATTAAATGGATTTGTATTGATGCTTTTTGAAGTATAATTATTTGATTCCATTCGTTTTAAAATGAATTGATAAAATATACCTTCATTTTTTCCTTTCGCCTTTATTATGCACTCTGGATAAAATATCATACTATCATCATCAATAAACTGTGATTTTCAGATTCATGATTTGATTCGCGAATCATAGCTCTTCAAATGAGAAGTAAGTAAACACGATGTAAAGAGATGTTAAAGTGCGAAGAAAGTTAATTAATGATTATTCCATCCATTATTGGTGCTTCCGGGTCCCGATCCTTGATTGGGTTTTACGTACCCCCATCCCGGATTGGTGCTTCCAGGTCCCCATCCTTGAACCTTAGTAGGTTGTTTAAATCTTTTATTATAACATGAACCATTTGAATTAGGTTCGATTGTAAGTCTTGGATAAAAGCAGCTCCACAAAACAGAAAATATTGGATCTTTTTGTTGAGTCATAATTTTTTCGAAAAATTCTTTGAAAGCTTCTACTTTTTCAAAAGGAACAGCTCGTAGGTCGAGATTTTGGAAAAGTCTTATAAATGATAAATCATTATTGCACAATTTGATAAGTAAATCACAAACAAGACCTCCATTTTGATTATTTTTTTCGTTGAATAAGATATTTTCTGTTACATCATAACCAAATTTTTGGAAAAATAAGATAAGATCATTTTCTTTAAATTTGGAAATATTTTGTATAATAAACTTGCATGCAATGTCAGCCTCTTCGATAGGCAAATGAAATTCAAATTCAGACAGCGCATTTTCAACAGTTAGAGGTATTGTCTTCAATTCAGTAGAACATATCTTGCATAATTCGTCTATTCCAAGCTCTTTACTGATGTAAAATAATTGTTTCAAAATTTTCAATTCCTTTTTATTAATTATGTCTCCATGTATGAAAAAGTTATTAATATCTTCTAATACTGAAGAGCAATCTTCTTTATAATCAAATGGAAATGCTTGCATTGTGTTATCTGTAGAAAATGCTTCAAAAACTTTGGATGATAAGCATACAGCATTATGAATAGGGCATTTAAAAGAAATATTACCGATAGTAATCGTACAAATATCATCTTGTTTGAATGCGTTGAGCCTGGAAATCAATTTTTGAATTTCCATTAAAAAAAATTCAATTAGGGTAGTTATCTGACCAAATGTGATATAAAGAATATTATATTGTTGCATGCTAAGTTCGGTCAACGATAAAAATTGAGTGGAAATTAATCGTCGAGGAAGTACGATTATGTAAAGTAAAAAATGTTGTGGGATTTTTAATATTATATATTATTTTATAATAAAATTTTTTTGAGTCATTTTAAGAAGCACATATAATTTTTTGAATTTAAAAATTAAAGTAGTGTCAAACGAATTTATCACTTAATTTAATACTCAGATTTCTTAAAATTAATGAAAAAAAGGTTTTCTGAGAACTTTTGAGAATGGTTTTCAAATTCCATTATTGAAAATATATAGGTATTGTATGAAATTCAAACTCTATATTTATTAAAATTCTAAATTTTTAATAAAATAACTTTTCAGAGGAATATGATTTTGAATGGTTGATTAATAAGTATAAAAATGTCTACGATTTTAAGGAGGGAATTGTTCCTTATGAGGTATACATCATAACTATATACCTCATAAGGAACAATTCCCTCTTGATAGCTGGGAAACTTTCTCTGAATAACTTATCATTTGGAGAAAGTTTCCCAGCTATCTATTAGAAACTAAAGGCTGTGAGGCACTAATATATAATCAGTGCCTCATAGCCTTTAGTTTGTTATTAAAAACGAGAAAACTTGTTCGAAATGATAAACAATTTCGAACAAGTTTTCTCGTTTTAAGGAGGGAATTGTTCCTTATGAGGTATACATCATAACTATATACCTCATAAGGAACAATTCCCTCTTGATATCCTGGATATTTTTGAATATATTTTTTTAATTAAAGTTCTCAAAAGTATTATCAAAAGTGATTTTTTTAAAATATCTCCAATTAATTAACTAATTAAAAGTATTATATTTTTAAAATTAAATAGTTTTTCAATTTTTTTGAAGGAATTGAGATACTTCCCACGACAATAAAATTGAGAGGTTTACATTATGACTGATCTTAGCATGCAACAATATCGCCATCGGTCTCATGAGTTATTTTATTGACTGATTTAGGATGATTTAAATCAATAATATAGTTTGATTGTATTTGAGTTACCAACATAATTCATAAGATAATAGTCCATATGCACTTAGGCCATTTTCAAAACAAAACAAGAAAAAAAATCAAAATTTACCATGTTACCAGAGTTTCTATTAGATACTAAATTCACTCATCGTATATCGTTGGTAGAAATTGTTGAATCAGAATTCGAAGTTTGATTCGTCTTTGTCAAGACATTCAACTCCGTTGTTTAAAATAAATTTTCACTGACTTTTAATCCCAATTGTAATCGATTGGAATTAAAGTCTTATGGGCATAAGTACACCCTTAATTAATTTTTGTTTAAAAAAATGAAAGTCTTTATTATAATGTTTTAATGTCAATCAAATAGACTCCCTTATCTTCTAAAGGGCCAACTGGCTTCCATTGGAAATCCAAATGGACTACTAAATACTCCGCCTGGAGAAAGATTTTTCTCTTCATCCTCCTCTTCCGATTTAATTTTTGATGGATCTTGTTTAAATTGTTTATTGTAAGATATTGATGTATTTTTTCTGCGTTCAATATCTAGACGAGGTTTTAAGAGCTCCCATAAAATTCTCAAATTTGAATCCTTTGATATAGCCATGGAATTACTGAAAATCTCTAAAAATTGTTTGGCACGGTTGTTTGAAACTCCTTTAATGTTCAAATTTTGGAAAAGCTTGACATATGAAGGATCCTTATTATACAGTTCCATAACCAAATTGAAAACGATGTCGCCATTTCTATTATTTTTTTTTGTTGAATAAAATATTTTCCGTAATATCATATCCAAATCTGATAAAAAATGATATCAAATCATCTTTATTAAACTTATCAATATTTTGTATGATAAATTCGCATAAACTATTATAATTTTTAGATGTTTTCCGAAACTCAAATTCTAAAAGAATTGTGTTTGCAGAAAGTGGTATTTTCTTCAATTTCTTAGTGTAAATCTTGCAGAGCTCTTCAATACCGAGTTCTTTTCCTAAAAAATATAATTGTTTTAAAACTTCCATGTCATTTTTATTGATGACTTCGCCATTAAGAAAAAAGTTAGTGATATCTTCTAATAATGAAGTAAAATCGTATTTACATTTAAAACTAAATTCTCTAATTGTAGAATCAGTAGAATAAACTTCAAAAATTTTGGCTGACAAACATACAGCAGTATGTAAGGGAGATTTAAAGGTGATGTTACCAATACTAATTGTACACATTTCCTCATGCATGAAAACGCCAAGCCTGGAGATCAGTTTTTTGATTCCCATATAAAAAAAATAAAAATATAATAAAAATTTCAAAGGATGTTTTGACTTGATAAAATTTTATTGTTTCTAACAATCGGGAATTTATTTAACAAAACCTTCAAAATGATATATAGCCATATTTCTAACTGACGCTTTCCTACAGCTTTATCAAAATTTAATTTTCGAATATTGTACATGTACGATCTTTTTCAGTTAATAAACATTCCGATAAATTTTTTATTTGAATTAATAGAGCTGTATTTAGATTCATAAGAAACAATTTTGTGAAAATAATTTTATTGACTATAATACGACTTTTTTTCAATTATGTAACTAATGTTCACACATCTAGGAACCAAGTCTTGCTTTATTGAGTTTAATTTTTATATTTGTAGGTAATTAATATGATAAAAAAACTAATAATATCCAAATAAAATAAAATACAAAATCATTTAATAAAAAAATACATAAAAATATAAAAATTATTCGTCGTTTTCGAATATAGAATCATCGAAATATCTATAGTTATCAGTGATCAAGCACTCGTACATCGCTTTTCTAAGCTTATCAATCATGATTTCAGTAGAATCGTATTCAGGCAAGTACAAAGTTTTGAAACAAGTTGAAGCTCTTGGTAAATAACCATTCCAACCACCACTGTCACTCCACGCCTTTTCAACAGTGATTTTATCAGTAGAATAAGGCGAAATTGTTGCAGATCCAGTGATGAAAATTAACAATTGATGTTTCTCATCAGGAGACAACTCAGAGAAAGCGTCGACAAGCATATTAATCAATGGCAAATCGATCTTCTTGTAGACCAAATGTTTCTTGAAAACTTTCGAAGGAATGTCGTCATCTCCACAAGACAATAATTTGATAATTGATGGATATAATTTCATCTTGTTCAAAGGATACAAAACACAAAATCCTTCAATGATTGGCTGCATAGCATCTTGTAGTTCTTTAAGTCTAAATTCAGCAACTTTTTGTAAATATGTTAAATAATTGTCTTTTGTCACTTTTTTGTTAAAAACCGTCACCAAATTTTACAAACAAGGAGGGAAATCGTAAGGCGAATCAAAAGTTGCTTTGAGAGCATCGTAGTTTACTTCTCTGTTTATTGGATAGAAAGAATTAATTAAAGTCTTGAATTCTTCTTTAGTTGTTGACGGATCATACAAAATTGTGTTTTGTATCATAGTTGTCAACCTAAAACTTTTAGAAGCGATTTCAGAAATCATTTTTGCCAAAGAAATCGAAATCCTCAAGAAATAATAATCATAATATCTCTCCAAAATAACATGTAATATAGAAATAGAGAATAATCTCTTTGCTAATTCTCCTGTAATCAAACTAATGTTTCCATGTGTCTTAACAATGTATAATTCTAATAACATCAACATCAAATTTTCAGAACAACTTTCTAAACTCTCAAAAAATTTGACAGTTAAATGTTTGTTGAATTTTTCAAGACATGAACTGAATTTTGCTATGATTTGCGGCTTCCTCAAGTCATGTCTGATTTCTATTGTTTTAACAAATGATAAAATAGTGTCCATTGAACAAGAATTGAAAGAAAAAGCCAAATAAAACAATTTTTCTAAAATTTTGTCTTCTTGAATAGTTTTTAGAAGTTTTTCTACTTCTTCTTGTATATCTAATGTCTTCTCGTTCTCATCAATGTCTATCAAATAACAAAGAAAAGTGACAAATTCATATGATGGCACTTTTTGTAAATTAACCTTAAATATATCATTTTCATGTTTTGAGATGATGAACTGGTTGAGATTCGACAAGTTGTATTTCTCTATGATCTCCTGTTCTTTAGGTGTCAAAATTTTGTAAACAAAGTCATTCAATTTTTCATTTTGAACTTTATTTTGCAAAATTTTGTGGATTTCGTCTAAAATAAGTTCCCTATTTGCTGAGCCTTCTTCTAGTAGCTTGTGAAGAATCAAGTGACAATATTCTTTCTCGTTTTGGAAATTGAAAAACTTAAAAATGTCAAATTTTTCAATTTTTTGACTTCTCAAAATTGAATAAAAAACGAAAAGTAGTTTTTTGTCATCGATTTCGAGACTAAGAACATCGTCAACAGGGATATCATTATTAGTTCTAATGAATGACCATGGATAATAGAAGATTTTGTCAATTTTCGCGTAAGATTTGAATTCATCTGGGAAAATCTGGAAATGTTGAGCGAAATAAACAATCTTTTTCATTATATTATTATCAATCTTGTAATAACTAAGCAGTAGATTAGCGTTGAATGGCATTTGAACAACTAATCTGGAATATTTTTTATCAGATTTTTTAATAAAAGTTTTGAAAAGATCATTTAACACTTCATTATATTGATTCCAATGGTTGTTGTCACCTATTTGTATTCCTTCTTGTATTTCGTGAGGGAAATATAGTTCATTTACAATGATTTCTTCATCTTTTTCGCTGCAAACATTCAGAAAATCGTTTAAGTATCTGAAACCAATTGTTCTGTAGTTAATTCTTTCATTTTGTTTCTCAATTAAATTTGATATTTCATTTGCTGTCAAATCTGAGATAATAAAGGTTGTAAGCTCATCTATTCTTGCGAGAGATTGTTTTTCATCGAATTCTCCGGGGTTTAATTGTAAAATTAAGTGAGTTTTTGATAAAATTATTTCAAAATATTCTTCAGGAGAATCCATTTGTCTGTATGAGTGTATAATCTCATTTCTTATGCTCTTAAGACCTCGTATCAATGTCTTGTCTATTGAATTTAACTCAATTTTTTCATTATTGAAATTTTTCATGGCCAAATCACGAATGTGTCCTGCAATTCCAATGTTTTTGGCTATGGATACTAATGTATACTGCAAAATCTTGTAAATGATCTTCTGTCTCGATAGAGGAATTTTATTTTTGTCATTCAAACAAAATTGAATGAATTTGGTCATAATTTCTGAGTCCTAAGTCAAATCTTTGAATTCTGATTCTTCTTTTTGGTCCAAATTTGGAGAATTTATTTGGAAAAGTTCTCTGGCTAAAGGAGTAATGTTTTCTTCTTCATCTTCCTCTTCAACTGTTGAATTGATGAGCATATTGATGAAAGAACTGAAGTTTAAAGGATTTCGTTTGACAATTTCCAGATTTTCGGTAAGAAATTGGAATATCCGCTTGTTAATGTTGTATCTAGAAAAGTCATGGATTCTGTTTATTGCCAAATCGATGTTTGTCTGATTCAATTCTATTTTGAAAATATTTTCAAGAGTATTTTGGGAAAAATCATTTATCGGCAGGAATTTTAGTAATATTGAGGCAATATCATTCGTAATATCTGTGCCTTCAAAGAATTCTTGAGTTTTGTCAAATCTGAGTTAAAATAATAGAAAAGTCCAGCAACAATGGCGTCATGGTAAAGTGTCTGGAAAAGAAGGTTTCTGCTGGAGTCCAGATGTAAAAATTCTGAAGATTTAGTAGTGATTTGCTCAAAAACTTTTTGTACTATACGAAATGAGAGGTTTTCTCTAGGATTTTTCATTGTATTTGTGAGTATATCAAGAAGAGATTCATAGTCAGATTCCTTAAAGGGAATATGATTATCTATCAAATTTATAAGGATTGCATCCATTGTTTCTTGGATATTTTGGTTATGAATGTCTATGATATCACAGTATTGAAGCTTAGATATGTTGATTTTTGGATATCGATCAGTTTTATTGGGAATTGTTGAGATTTTGTAGGTTCTTTTCACCTTCTGATTAAGATATTTTGATACATGATTTATCACCGGAGTATCATCGGGATTATCAAATGCAAACCATAGAGCCTTACTCATTTAATTAATTGAATTATGATTTTAGGTGTCACTTTTATTTACGCCTCGCATTTATTCAACATGCTGATAATAATGTTAACAATAATATTTGTAAGTGTCAAAGATGGACCATCTTTCTGAAAAATTGAGATAATTTTTATGTAAATTTTACAAATATTCGATGTTGTTTTCGGAACATATAATCGATGTACACCTTATATAATATAAACTTTGACAGATTTTCCAAGCTTGTAAAATGTATACTTATCAAAATTTGAATGAGGTTGGGAATTCAAAAATTCGATCGGATTTCTAGATTCGTTCGCTTTCTAAATACAGTTCTTACATTTGGTTTTCTGAGCTGGTGTATATCAAAGATGCGTATATGCTTCACGGGCAACTCATTAATTCATTAATCATTCATTTATTATTTACTTTCAAAAATGGAAAAGGCGCTGATAATATTGTTTTACTCCTAATAGGGATGCATCTGATACTATACTTTCCTGAATTTAAACAAAACAATTTCGGAAATATATATAAGATAATAGATCTCCTACCATTAGGAAAGCGCACTGGTCAAGACAACGTGATTTAGAATCTGTTAAACACTTATATCATCATTGAAATTCATATTTACATAATATAATGAACTAAACCTGAATCTAACAGAACCGCATATACACTCTCTGGTAGATGAGTATATATGCTATTCATTTCCCTCAAATAAAAACTTTGCCTAAAAATTATCCCTGTAAAAGTTAATGATCTATACATATTCAAACATACAATGTCTCCTCATAGTATTTTAAGTCTTTTGCTCAGAATCTAAAAGATTTAGGAGTGAAATTTTTTATGGTCAATTCGATTTTTGTCACTTTTGTTAAACTTTTTGGATAACATTCTATTATTTTAAAATGTATATAATTCTAGATTTTTCATATTTGTAAAGTTTTGAATTTTTTTGTACGTTTCCAAAGTACCCTTAAAATGAAATATTAATATACAGTGGCATGTCACGAATAATATCTCGATAATAATTGAAAATAATTCAGACTAAATTTTCTTTTTGAGAAGTTTACTAAATTCCGCTCATGTCAGAATTTTTCAATTTGTTTAATGTTCTTTTTCTTATTCAGCCTTATAGTTTCCCTTACAGAACCAAAGAAAGTCTCTTCGGCAGGTATCGAAAGCCAAGAGAAAGTTAGCTTGCTTAAAGTAGGAATTCCTCGAAAACCTCTAAAAACATTAACTCCGAAACCTTCAATCACTAAATTCCGTGTATCAACAAGAGATCTAAACAACTTAGCTCAACAGAGTTTCCCACAGGAAGAAATACCTCAATCTTTGACAGAAGAAATCAAAACTCAACTTACATCAACTCCTATGATCATATTTTATATAGTATTAGGTGTTTGTGTATTAATAGTTATCGGTGTATTCATGTTCTACAACAACTCCGATGATGATGCAGACAATACTCAAGATGCAATCATTGAAAGCCAATATAATGAGCATCTTGATCCTCAGTTGAAGAATGAATCACCTCTTCAAATATAATAGTTTTCCTTCCTATCAATATTAGTTCTTTTGTTTGTATTTAAATAATAATTTTAAAATTTATCATTTTTTTAAAGGATAACACATCAGCACAAAAAATCCATGCTGAAATTTTGTAATATTGTTATTAATAATAGCATGATTTCGGTAAAAATATCAAAATTTGATTGAAAATATTATGAAAAATTGAATCAAAAAGAAAAACTAATACATTATTGTTGCACCTCTTAGTGATTTTCATGTTTCAATCATAATATATGAACAATTAACTTTCAACATCAAACGATGCAACAAAAATTCATGAATAACCTAATAAAAAGGAATAAAAAATATATAATTATTGCAATATTAATTGATTACTATGGTTGTACGCCATTAGATGAAAATACAACTTAAAATGTCAAACCAAGTTGAAAAATAGCATCAAAAGTTGAGTTAAACGAATCAAAAGGAAGATCTTCTACATTTTCAATGAATTATCATGGTTTTATGACATTATATGTGAATTTTACTAAAAATTTGAATAAGAATTTGGGAATTACATCAAATAATTGAATAAAAATGAATGAGATTTATATTCCTTCTACAGTATTAGTGTATTTTCATTGTCTTATCAAAAAATCATGTAAATTAAATAAAAACAATTAGATATTATTAGAAAGAAATAACAAACAATATTTTACTTAGGGTTATTGAGTTTCTCGTATATTTCGTACACTCTTGCAGCGTATTTTGACCTCAAAACTTCACTCGGAGACCTTACAGCGTAAATTGCGTTTATATCTGTCTCAATTATTACTCCGGCCATGTATTCGAACGATCTAAGTTTCTCTTCATCAGCGCATTTGTTCAATGACTCCAAAAGTTCTGATGCAGCAACTTGCGAGTTTGCAACGTCAGTAATTCCACTTCTATTGAGTTCATCGATGCATTCGGGTGTCGGAACAACGATTGCGATGGGTCTGGAGTAGTGAGGATCCGCAATTATGTGGAGAAATTGGACTCCGTTGGCTTTTTTGTATTTATCGACTAACTGAGGTACGAGGATATATTCTCCTTGACTCATTTTGATGTTTGGCCGCACTCTGTCGACAATTTGCAATTTTCCATTTATTATCGTTCCAACATCTCCAGTTTCGAACCATTTGTCTGTAAAAGGAGCGGATCCGTAATATCCTTTAAACAGAGAAGGTCCTCGTAACAAGATTTCCCCTGAAGGAGGAGAATTCATTGGATCATAATCTAATCCATCAATTTTTCGAAGTTTCAACTGAACTCCGACACTAACAGCACCAACTGATAATCCATTACCGGTATTGGCCTCTTGTATTGCTCCTGCACCTGAAGTTTGCGTTAATCCGTATCCAATTACGATGTTAGGAGTAATCATTCGCTTCAAAAAGTTGTAAACATCACTTCTTATCGGCGCTCCTGCACTTACGATCAAACGAACTCTTCCTCCGACTGATTCTCTGAAATCATTGAGTAAAAGTCGATCGATAATGAAGGAAGACTTCTTAATATTCAGTAAATCGTCGGTATAATGCAATGCGAGGCTGATAATGAACTTTTTAAGCGCATTTAATTTGGAATAAAATTCATTAAAGTCATCTAACATTCTGTTGAAGATTCTTGGTACTCCACATAATATAGTTGGTCGTAAACATTTTATATCTTCGCTTAGTATCCTTGTATTACCTGAATAAAAGCCGATTGAAGCTCCTTGAGCGAGATGTAGTAATTCTACGGTGATATCGTATATATGTGCGAGTGGTATGTATGATAAGAATGTATCTTCCGTAGTTATCGATGCTCCAATATGAGACATCGAATTTACACTTGTTAATATGTTTTTATGAGTCAAAATGCAGCCTTTAGGACCTTGATCGGAAAATGTATAAACTATGTATGCATCGTCGCTTTCGTCGACTTCGTTTTGGGAAAATTCAGAGATATGTTCTTTTCCGAGGTTTACGAACTCCGTATTAGTAAAAACGTTATCGGGAAGGTTAACTAGATCGATACAGATGATAACAGTGAAAAGTAAATTGAGATTCAGAGATTCGAGTTTTTTCACTTCAGATGCATGAACAATTATAGCTTTTATATCAGAATCGTTGATAATTGTCTTGTATGTGTCTGCTCCCAGGCGATCTGAGATCGGAACTACAGTTGCGCCACATAGATGTGTTGCAAACTCTGAAATATGCCAAAATAAACAATTTTGAGAAAATATTCCAACGTGATCTCCTTTCTTTATACCTTTGTATTGCATTGCTGAGGCGAAATTGATAGCCATATCTTTAATTTGTGAATAATTATACCAAATGTAGTTTCCTGATGATCCATTTGGGTTAATTTTCCTTTCTCCCATACACTTGAACTCGGAGTACTTAGAAGTGAATGAAAGAAATAGTTCTGAAACTGTTTTTGCCTCAGGAAAACCATGATAACGTCCGAGAATAACGTCGTTTGTAAGAACGCTGGAATTGATGTATATAGGGGATCCATCGGGATCATCTTCATCAATAATAGGATGACAGAGGGATCCCTGATAATTGGAATCCATGATCGTAAAAAATAATTTGTATAAAAGTCACTTTCTCCAAAATTTTGAGAGTGAAGAAAGTCCATAAACTTTTTTAACATCGCATTTATCATATGTTGGTTATTACCGATCATAATATTTTTGTAAATTTTTATCAAAATCGTTAATGCTAGATTATTATATATAAATCATTTATTAATATTTCAATTTGAACAAGCTTACGAAAAAAAATTGAAAGCTTCGTTTCATTTCAAAAATTCGGACTTAGATTAAATTTTATGTTTTTATGATAATTTATCACTAACTGTTTCACGTAGTCTAGAATTTGCAACTGCTTACCATGGTAGAAGATTTCATCATTATTCTTCATCTTCCAATTTCTATTGAATGATGTAAGTTATTTGAAACAAATGATCTTCAATTTAAATCATTGATTCGAAAGTATTATACATTTTTGAATGAATGATGAATGAATAAGTCGTGAACAATGGGTGAAAAAATGTTTTACCAAATAACTTAATGCATGTTTTAACATCAGTGCAAACTCTAAATATCTCTTACTACATAATATATTGTTGATACCAGCTCAAAGATCAATTAAGCCTTCGAAAATTATTGATGAAAATACACAAAAAAATTCTCTTAGTGGATTTCTTTCCATTTTCAGACAAACAAACATATCTCTAAAGCATATCCCTGTTTCTTTGCAGGAATATATAATCATTTCGCTACTTAAATGTTGACTACTCCGTAGTCTATCATTTACCATAAGAATCATTCATAATAAACAAATGCTCTTCTAGTTTCTTTTTTTGAACTGAATTAAACGGGTCTGTTTCGTTTTTTTTTAAAAAAATAATTTTGAAGGAGAGACTTGAGTCGTACATTGGTATGAAAAAAATTGTTGTATTTGAATTGCCATCTGCATGGAATTTATAATAGACAAAATATTATGAAGTAATTTCTTACGACTTTTTGAGTCGTATATCATATTACATAATTTTAATGGGAATTATACAAACATACATATTATATTTATTTAGATAAAAAAACTAATAGCTACGGTTTTGAAAGCCGTTTCAATTTAAAAAAACGAATTAAGACCGAAATCATAATATGTTTGGAATGAGAATGCAACTATTCCAGCATGCATTAAATCATACTACAAGAATGGCTCAGTCTGGAGACTTTCCATCAATATATGCATTGAAACCATGGACTGCCTTCGAAGAATCTGAATGTGATTCTTATTATATCGCGCCAGATTATTCTTATGGCCTTAAATATAATTATAAGACTATTGTAATTCCAAAAGGTAAAAACGCATGTGTTGAAGGAAGCTTTATATTAGCCTCAAAATCAAATTATAAAGTTATCTCAAAAATTCCAGAAAATTCATCAAAAGGATATACATGGAAGAAAATCGAGTATGATAATGCTCTTGCAGCTTTAGGAGCGGTGGATTTCAAAGTTGATGATGATTCAATCGTGGGCTATCATTTAATTTACAGAAAACCCGTTACAAAAATTATTCCAAATGATCAAAATTCAGAAACAAAGGTTCAAATTTTAGGCGTTAATCCTTCATATTACATTGATTTAACACTAAATGTGCTTGATTCTAAATATCATTTTAAGTTAGGATATAAAACCGAGGTCTCTTCAAAACCAGAGGACTCTTTTAATGTATATATAAACTGGAAAATAAACGATGCCTCGCAAAAAGGTGGAGATATTGAAGAAGTTATCGTGAATGGAATTGCATTTTACAATAAAGAGAGAGAATTTTCCTATGAAAGAAGTAAATACGCTGGATTTACTTCATCACTGGAATGGAAGGATCAAACAGCAATGGAAGGAATAATCGGAAAAGCCAAAACTGCGATATTTTATGCCTGGCTCAATCTTAAAGAATTAGGAACAGATCCTCCATCAAAACCAAAGTCTGAATATAACCTTGATAATAAAATTAGCTTCAAACTGACATCCAGTGCAAGTGCAGATGATGAAGAAGAAGAAACCGAATTCTTCTTCCCTGAATTTCATGCGTCATTGTCAACAGAGGGTGGCGTTTTCGATAAAGACAATATTGATCAAAAATTCCCTGGAGATAAAAGCAAATTCCCTGTTTGGGCAATTGTTGTTATTGTTATTGTCGTCATTCTTGTTGTTGCAGCCATTGTTGGTGTTTGCGTCTATTTCTTCGTTATCAAACCAAAGAAGGTTGGTGCAAGCCCATCTGATGGTGGTAATGAACAAAAGGAACCAAATAATTAAACAATTCAGTTTGTAGTTATCTTTTTATTTTTATGATCCTCATTTAACACTAATGTATAATGAACCTTCAAATAGTAGAAAAAATAGTGTATTCAGGTATTACTCTACGATAATCGCCTAATTATTGATATCTAAGTGAATAACATGCTAAATGTTATTATACTGTAATAATAGATGTTAACATATCTAAATTACATGTTTTGGCTGCTATTTATGTTTCTATGCCAGAAATTCATTTGAATTTTAACCAAAATATGATATATAAGAATCAATTGTCAAACCCTTGTTATATTCAACAAAGTTGGGAAATGCATATATGAGTATCACAATGATATGCATCAATTCCCAAAAATGGCGAAAATTTAGAGATTCATTTTAATTCAAAAAATTCGGACTTAATTTATTGAAAAAGAATATTTTTCATTTTAAATAGTTGTTTTGTTTCCGAATTTTAAACAATGCCAAAAAAATCATTTTTAATGAAACTTTCTTCAATAACAGCCAAGCTCTTTGATAAATTTGCCCGAACAATAGTATGGATTCTCCTTACTCTCACATTTGTTGTCCAATACTTTAATCCTCATGTAACAATCGAAATCCAACACTATCACGATAAAATCCGCGATGGAATTATACGCGATCTAACATTAGAAGGCGGAAACTTTTGCAACAGAAATTTAATTCATGGAATAAGCAATAAATTTAAAAATAGAGCACTTAATTACGTCGCAGAAAAAATATTTACTTATTCTTACACTTTAAATGCTACAGAGAGACGACCAATTGATTATGTGAAGAAATGTATACTATCAACTAATCAAAAATTCTTCTGTCCATATAAAATTCCTTTTATAGAAAAAGAAATCAATGAAAAATGGTGGTATTCAAAAGAAAATTTCACTCTCCAATACTATTTCCCAGAGCTTACTATATTTCATCATGGATTACGTGATGCTGATTCAAAAATCAAAGATTATATCCGAGAAAAATATTTTATTGACGCAGGCGCTTTTATTGGTGACTCTGCAACATATATTGCAAGATATACGAACAAACAAGTGTACAGTTACGAACTTAGCGCTAAAAATTATAAAGATTTACTAAATTATTCAAAAATAAACAAGATGGACCATAAAATTGTAGCTTTTAACTACGGAGTTGGTGCCAAACATGACTCCTATTTCATCCATGATAGCAGAAGTGGCATAACTTCGCCTAAAAAACGAGATTCGGGAACAAAAGTCGAAATTGTTACAATTGATGAAGAAGTAGCGAAACACAACATCGAAGTTGGCTTTATTAAAGCAGATGTTGAAGGTTTCGGACTTCAAGCAGCGCTAGGAGCTGCAAAAACCATCCAAAAACAAAGACCAGTTTTGGCATTCCAAATGTACCATAATATGGAAGAATTTTTCGGAATTCCTGAGTTTGTTATGACATTTCCTAACTACATTTATTATTTTAATGTCGGAGCTTTTAATATTGACGCACTCGGAGAGTTTGGAATCTTCGCTTTCCCCGCTGAGGTCCTCTATCCACCCCAGACACAGGAACAATGGCATGAAATCAAATCTTATGTTCCTCCTGCTTATTCTTATTCATAATGAAATTTTCATAATGAAACTATATGTATAATAATTGTTTTTGTAAAAGTAATGTATTTTAAAATTATTTGTTTATGAATTCATCCGTTTAAACAGAAAAATCAAACAATATTTTTTTTAATTTCAAGGAGTTCAATATGCAAGCGTCGTCAAATGAGATTGAAAATCAAAATAATTATATTCAATCTCATAGCGGTCTTATACACTCATTGAATAAAGGAAAGTTAATTATGAAATCTTGAATTTTTTCAAACTAAAGCATTACAAATCCAAATCTAGAAAATTGAGGAAAGATAATTGCAGTTCATGCATTGATGCTTTTCAAATAGAGAAAAAAAAAATAAAATATCATAAGATATAAGAATTAGTTTGCGAAAACTACTCAAATGACTTTATTTGATCATTTTATCAAAGTTTCTTCATATCACAATTGAATGTTTATCATCGATTAGTTGATTTTCAGTATATTAGTTATATAAAAGTGTCAAAAAAAATGATTTCATTGTTTACTTCATTGTGCACAAGTATAGAAAGTAATGGAATATTCAGTAAGGTCTATGATAACAAAATTGTTGTTATAGAAACTAGTGGATCATCAAAACAGTACATAAACGGAAGTCTACAATTAACAAAGCCAGAATACGCTATTTATCCATGGGATAAGAAATATGATTGGTGCTCAAATTGCGGACACACATATGAAGAGCATCCATGGATTACTTTCTCCCTAAATTCAAGAAAATTCAAAATTCACGGCTACTTTGTGAGAGCAGGCTGCTGCTATGGCACTGCACAATGCTGTTGCGAGGATGAATATTACCACTACTGTGTACGCTGCTGCCTCTTCAGTTGGTCCCTTCAAATTTCAAATGATAATAAAACATGGAAAGATGTTCACAAGGTTGAGAAGGACTACGACATGAAGTACTGCAAGGAAAAGAGCTACGAATTCAAAGAAACTTACGAGGCAAAGTACGTCCGTTTAATTCAAGACCAGTCATGCCCAGGAGATCCTCCATGCATCGCTATCAACAAGCTCGACTTGTTTGGAGAGGTCATCGATGAAGGAGAAAGCGGAGAAGAAAACTTTGTTTCATATCACGATGATGACGATGATGTCAGCATCATTGGACACATTTCAAAGAATGGCAATGTTAAGATTAACTAAATCTACTAAAATTAGTATTTTATTATCAAAATTTAATAAATTATAAAATTTTTTTTTATTTTCTATGTGATACAATCTTGGTATATCATTGAAATGTATTGATTATTCATTGTCTATAATCTAGAATAAAGAAAAATTATTGTTACAGGAAAATTGACTTCTATTTCTAATGAATACGAATTAATTACTGATGAAATTAAGCTCATTGTTTTCACCTACTATGAAATACTTAATATTATGGTTTATTGTTCATTTTAGACATGTTAATAAAATAATTTTGTTTATATCATTGTATAAATAAGTGAAATTTGTATTTTTAAGTTAAAATCTAATAATAATGTAAATTGTTTACATACAAACATAAAATATATGAAAAAAAATTAGATTCCTGTATTATCTTGTTCTGTTTCCGAAATCTTCACAATTTCCATGAAAACCTTTTCCAGAGAAGAAGATGAACAAGTGAAATAGTTAAAACCATTGTCACCCTTTTTTCCTTCTTCCATTTTCTTGAAAAGATATCCCAATTTAATTGATGAAGCAGGAATATTGTAAATTCTTGCTGATGGTCTTTTTATTGACAAAACAGCACTTGGAATTTCTCTTTCGAAGAAACTATCAACCAAATTCGATGTCCTTTCACTTTCATCATTCAATTGTATATCAACTTTATAATCAGTTCCAAACTTCGATTGCAAATATTGTGGAGAACCAATCGTATAAACATTTCCTCTTATCATTATAGAAATAGTATCACACAATGTTTCAGCTTCAGACAACAAATGAGTACATAACATAAATGTTTTCTTTCCCTTGTAAAACTGTATCATATCATGAACTTGTTTTCTTGAAACAGGATCCAAAGTTGCTGTTGGTTCATCCAATAATATAATCTTTGCATCACCAAGAAATGTTAATGCGATTGATAGTTTTCTTATATCTCCTTCAGACAAGTTTTTAATTGGAATATCTTTTATATCTTCTATATCAAGTAAATATAACAAATTCCTTCTTTCATTTTCTTCTTGAACTTTAGTTAATTTATGCAATAAAGAATACAAATGAATATGTTCGCATATAGTCATATCCATGCACAAATGAGTATTAAATTGAGGACAAACACTTAAAAGAGAAGAATCGTTTTCAACAGTTATATCTTTTCCATTAATTTTGATTGTTCCATCACTTGGAGGTAACATAGATGCTATCATATTAATCAATGTTGTTTTTCCTGCACCATTTGCACCCAAGAAACCGAATATTGATCCTTCTTTTATACCTAAAGAAACACAATTAACAGCAGAAATTGGATTTCCTTCAGTATTAAAGAACATCCTTGAAACATTATGTATTCTTACTGCGTAATTATGATTAACTTCAACTTCTTCTTCTATTTGATGAGTTTCTTCTGTTACAGGATGTTTTCTCTTTTCCGTTTCAAAGAATTCATGATAATCACCAAAATTACTTCTTGCTGATTTCCTTTGAACATATTTTCTCCATTTTTCTATTAGAAACAAAATCAATGAATAAATAATTATATCAACAAAAGCAAATATAGAATAAGGTCTCGCAGGAGATTGTTTGTCGAAATACGCTTCTAATCCTGTATTTATATAAGCGTATGTTGTAAACATTTGTTGTAAATATCCTTCTAATAATAAAGGAGGGAATAAACAATACAACCATCCCCATTTTTCTGTTTTCGCAAATGAGCGAACAGGATCATTAAAATCAATAGAAGATAAAGTAACAATCAAAGGAATAATTAATAAAATAATATTACCAATAAAAGCATTTCTTGATGCTGAATCAGGACTGTTAAACAAAAAAGAAATAACATAAATAAACAATAATAAACTAAACCCACAAATAAACAATAAATAATATGTTGGTCCTAGATTATCCTTGAAGAATTTCACTCTACAAATAACAAAAACTAACCATACTAAAGTGATTTCAATCATCCAAAACAAAAAATCAAAAACAAATAAAACAAACCAATAAGGGAAAATTTTCAAGTTACATGAGATCATGTAGTTCCTTATTGGACCTTGTATATCGGTAATAGGTACAGCAATGATAGTAACAATCACTGATGTTAATCCGGCTGAGATTAAAAGAGGAGCAAAAATCGCAAACATATAATCTCTGGCGATTTTGTTAAGAAGTGACCAAATCATGCTAAAATCTGCATGTTTCTCAAGACCAATCGATTTGTACTCTTTTAGAATGTATGAACTTAAATTGTCAGAAATTTGAGAGAAGGGAAATTCCGATAAATTTTGCCGTTGCGATAACATGGCGATTTCGATTCTGTAGATGTTCGTGTAAGCGATATATGACATGTTCGGGAAGTATATTGAATTACTTGTCGTTTCTACTGAGTCATTCCATAACATAGTAAGGTTATTTCCGCCATTGAAATCAAATTCTTCTGGCAAACCGATCCCCATGGCAACGAATACGGATTCATTCTTGCATTCAACAAAATATTCGTTTGCGCCTTCGTAATCCTCGAAAATATGTAAATCCGGATGATATCCTGTATCATATAAAAATAAATCATCGATAACGTCTATGTATTTGCGCTGAAATGGCTTATTTGTGAAGTTATTTGGATAATCTGAGGCAACGATCGCTAAAGCTTTAGGTTTTAAGGGAAAAGCGTTAAAATTGTACAAAGTAATGTCATCTTGTGAGAGAGAATCCATCATAATCTTAACTATAATGGCTAAGCATGATACTGCAAGTGTCACTAATATGTTTATTAAGGCAGAAAAAATAGATCTTTTAACTCCGATCCATCTACGGTAAAACATGGCCTTGAACTGCATTATTTCGAGTTTATCATACCAAGCGTTTGACATTCTTGTGTATTTTCCTCCTTTGGATGAAGAATTTATACAATTATCCATTCAATATTAAGTGTGCACACGAGAGGATCATGTAAACTTCAGAATTTAGAACCTTATTTTTAGGCATTATCTTGGCTACCTATTTAGGCTCGAAAAGCAAAAAATATCAAAAAATACAACTTGACTCCATTATGACCCTTTCATGGAGGTAGTTTTTATCCGCTAGTATTTTCCCTTTGAATCTCTTTACAATTCGAAATCAAATTCAAACCTCAGTAGAAGAAAGGAAGAATCGACTTACTACGGTTGTAATACGAATAAATACATATATTTAATTATTTTTATTTACATAATAATTGTTTGAAGCTCATATTCCAACAAATTTTTAAATAAAAACATTAAAATGTTGAAAATGTTCATATATTTTAATAGGGTTTTGGCACTTTATTGAGGAATTACTACATACATAGTCGAACTGAACTTGATATTTTGAAATTTAAATTATTTATCAAAATTAAAATTTAACTTGAAATTTATAATTATTTAGTCATATTTTGCATAATTCTAAGTAGATTTTGTAAAAAATCAAGAAAGAAAAATTTTAACGTGCTTTATTTTTTCTTTTTTATAATAATACATATTATTATATAATTAACATATTCATAATGTTTCACCCTTTCAAAAATATAATCCTCCTCCTCTCAAATAAACGTACATACGGGTGGCCTCTTTTTTCAAAAATTAAAATTTGAAATTTTGGGCTCAAATATTAGAGATTTTTTCAACCTTCAACGATATATGTTGTCTATATCAGACCTCCTTTCTTTTTGATACTTAACATTGTTCCTAAATCTTAGCCGTTAAGGCTGTTCTGAAAATATTTTTTTTTCGAAAAAATTCGAAAAAAATTCTTAAAATTCAAAAATCCCTTAATTCCTGAGGATTTTGGAAAAAAGTTTTTACATGAACATGTGTATATTATATGAAGTATATTGATAAGGTAAAAATCAAATTTTATTGCATATTCATCGAGAAAATAAACTAACGAATCCCTCAAAATTGAGAGGGTAATCCTCCTCCTCTCAAATAAACGTACATACGGGTGCACCCTTAAGATCAAAGTTTTTTTCGTAAACTAGCAAAATTGAGAGGAATACAATAAAAAGAGGATATCTATCGTTTTTCGAATTTTATGATCATAAAGTGTCAAATATTAATAATTTCCGTGTTGTCAGTGATAGTATTTCTAGCGACTTTTTTTGTGAACACTCGCCATTCAATCAAAAATCTCATCTATTATTGAAATTAAATCGTAAAATGTCTGTGCAACAGATTATGTGATAATACTGTCAGAAATCGAAATTGAATTGATATACCAATAAACAGAATGTTTGAAAGTGAAGAAACAAAGCACCTTGTTAGTGGCGGATCGTGGAACAACAGACACCCCAGCTTCTTCAAGGAGACAAGAAGCTTGTTTCGTAGATCGTTTTTGAATAAAATTAGAGACAAAGGAGTTATTGCTTCCGAAATTATTGCAACAGTTATTATATCGATTCTTGCCGTATTTTGGAATTTTGCTAATAACCCTCATGAGGCTGTTACGGAAACGAAATTCTTAAATGCTTCCGAATTATTTGGAAATATCGTTTTAATATACAACCAAATGTATACAATGGGTAAAGGTGGTAACTATGTTGCTGGTCCTTCCAATTCAAAGACATTAAGGTCATTAATATCAAAAACTTGGGGAGCAACAAAATTGCCAGTCCTAGACTACGAAAAATATGAAAAAACTAAAAGTATTATACTAAGCCTCAAACGTCTTGTTAATGTAAGCAGAGAATTCGTATACGTTAGAGAATATAAACGAATTATTGAGAGAATTAACGAAAATGAAGCATTCTCTGTTGGCATCTGGTGGGATAATGCCGACGATGAGACGTATTGGTCCAATTTAACCGCTCATATTTTTGAATCACAGACAAACTTCTTTACTTACCATATTAACGTCGATTTCATGGCCCTTCTCGCATACGAAACTGTTGGAGAAAAGCTAAAAACTACAAATGCAAAGCTAAACGACGTTTTGACAGATTATATCAATAATATGGATGTAAATCAATCGGAAAAGGACTATTTACAAGAGCACATGAAGTTCTGGCCATATCAGAACAGTTCAGAAGGCTTCAAACTCCCTAATATCATGACATCAAAAATGCATCGACCAAAAGTAACGAATCAGCTTCAAATCGATGTTGTTGTTGCCTTGTTTTCAGCTATACCTATTGTTATTGCATCATTACCTGATTTATCATTAGTTTTGAACGACAAAGAATCTCATATGATGACTTTTCTTTACATAATGGGTGCAACAGAGACATCGTATTGGTTAGTTAACAATATCTCAACATTTTGTATGTGTTTTGTTCCTTATCTTGTTATAGATATATTGTTTAGTACATGGTTATGTATGGCAGGCACTGATTTTAGTTTATTATTTGTTTTATCGATGTTATTTATTTTGTCTTATATACAATTCCAGAATTTCTTTTCTACTTTCTTTAACAAAGCATCAGGTGCTAGAATATTAACTGTTATTTTCTTGATTTCTTGTATTTTCTTTAGTTACATGAATTCTGTTTATACTTTAACAGGACCAAAAGTAACGAAACATTTGTTTTCTTTGATTCCTTTTGTTTCATATCAATTAAGTATTGCTGTTATGTATGAAGAAGTTAGATTGAATAGACCTCCAATAGGATGGAAAGATATCAAAGAAGAAAAATATAGATATCCTATTTATTATTCTTTTATTTGGTTACCTATTGATTTTGTTTTATGGGGTTTGTTGTTTTTGTTCTTTAATGCTGTGAATGATAGAGAGTTTGGTAATCAACCTTTGAAACTCAAGAATTTGTTTAAGAAGAAACAAACTAATTTACATGATTTGGAGGGTGATAAAATAATTGTCGCTGAAGATGTAATGAAAAGATATCCGAAATCTGACAAAAACGCAATTGATGTTGTTTCTTTTGGTGTTTCTAGAGGAGAAATCATTGTAATGATCGGTCCAAATGGTGCCGGAAAATCATCTATTTTAAATGTTTTGAGTGGTTCTATTCCTTTGACAAATGGAAAGATATATTTAGAAGATTCTTCTTATGGAAAAACAAACAAAAATTTGGGAATTGTTTTCCAAGATAACGTGATTTATAAACATTTGTCAATAAGAGAACACTTAGAAATATTTGGAAGAATAAGAGGTTTAGATGAACAAGTTCTTCAAGAAAGTATTGATTTCTTTTGTGATAATTTGCAGTTGAAAGAAATGCTTCCAAATAGAGCTGGTGATTTATCTGGAGGACAAAAAAGAAAATTGTGTATCGCTATGTCTTTGTTAGGAAATCCACCAATTATAATGATGGATGAACCAACAGCTGGTGTTGATGTGCAGGCAAGACAATTGATATGGAAATCAATATCAAATCTTAAGAATTCTACTTGTATAATTACAACGCACGCATTGGAAGAAGCTGAAGCTGTTTCTTCAAGAATTTTCGTTGTTTCAAAAGGAAAAATTCCGTTCATTGGAACTTCAACGGAACTAAGAAGCAAGTTTAAGTGTGGATACAATATTAGCTTCGTTTGTGAGAAGTCAAGAATGGATGATATATTTGAAGAAATAAAGAAATTTGCTCCTGACGCAGTAATGAATGAAGAAAAAGAAAATTCTGTGATGGTTCCTGTCACAAGCAAGATATCGGATCTACTTATTTACCTTGATGACAATGATGAAAAACTTGGAATAGAAAGATACACATTCACAATTGAACAGTTAGAAGATACTTTGCTAAGAATTATTGAATCAAATTAAAATTATTTTTTTGTATGAATTTTATTGTATAAATAATAAAAATGCGAGTTTATTAGTTTAATAAATCAGTAAGAAGACTATAAGAAACTCATCCCAATTCAGAGATGGCGTCCAAATTCAGGAGATTATAGATGTTTCTATTTTGCTTGCCAAAAGCCTCAAGAGAAATATACTAGTTCATATAGTGAATATAATTCAACTTAATGAAGCAAATCCTGGATCCTTGAAAAAAAATTGGGAACTATGAACCTTTAGACTCCATGAAGAAGTCATCTAAACTTTGAGAAGAGTTTCTATATATGATTCTATCTCGTCATCAAAAAAGCCACTGAGGAAAATTCCTATAGCAATAGGTACCCATATAAACCAAGATATATAATGCATATTACACTCAAGGATAAAGTAAGTTATTCACACAAAAAAATTTATGAACTTGGGTCCTCAAAAATTTACATGAGTACAGTGATACACAATCATTATTTAGATATTTTAGGCTTTGTTCGAATGAATCGGTTCAAAAATGGCTCAATAAATAAAACATTTTTAAAAAAATTTTATGCTTGGAACTAATATATCTGCTGTATTAGCACTTAAACGGAAAATAGTAATTTTGACATTAGTCACAAAATCAAATGATTTCTCAAGATTTAAATGAAAAAAAAACTGTTAATGAGAAATTCTTTTAATGAAATTGCTTTACGATAGTTTAACTATGCTTATCATGCTTATGAAATAATGATAATACACGTTGTGAAGGATAATTGATTTACAAACTGGAGGATCTTTGTCAAGAGTTGTATACCCAGTAGGAATTGGATATCGAAATGGTTTGGCTCCAAAGTTGACAGAAACAGTATCTGGATCACCTGTATCTGCGTGCCAAATAACTGCTCGGTAAAATTTTGGACTCTTGTTCAATGTTATGAAGTAACCTTTTGTTTCGGTTTCAGTTCGAAAATCAATGTGATTTATATAGGAATCAAAAGAAATTCCTATTGTTGAGTCAGATTTCAATGATTTAAAGCCAAGTGCTTGGTAAGGTTGAACTTCTGCTTGGCAATCAAGATAAAAAGCTGTTGAATCCGGTAAAAGTTTTTTAGGATATATCGCAAATACAAAAACATTGCTGGTATCAAACTCAAATCCAGCTAAATGTAGGTTAGGCCCAGAAAAGTGTGTAAATTCATAATACCAACGACCTGGGGTCGTTCTGTTAACATTACTAGAATAAAATGGGCCTTTCGCAGTAAGACTGAATCGGGTGTTTTGTTCGACAACTTTAGTTCCGCCAACTAAATATACGCGTGAAATTTAGTGTTAAAATAGTGATTTAAAACCATGTTTACATTTGGCAAATTTTTGATGAACTCTGATCCGTTTTGAACTAATGCTAGATATGTTTTTTTAACAAGAAAAGCAACCACATTTTCTGCACAATGTCCCGATGAAATATTATTCTTAAATTATTGATTTTATTTAGATGTGTTTTGGCACTGTATATGTTTAAATAAATGGTATGCAAGGCCTCAAAGACTCAAATTGGCTCCGTTGGGTTAAAAATGCAAAAATTTGATGCAAAAAATTTTCAAAAATGATAAATAATACTTTTAGCTAAGCAGATTAAATACCGTCATGGTGTTTAAGAAATAGTAACAATATATGCTTGGATGATTGAATGTTAAACATTTAATAGGATCTTGATCAAGAGTTGTGTAGCCTGGAGGAATCTGGTAATAAAAAGGCTTGGCTCCAAAGTTGACTGACAAATAATCTTCGCTGGCTTGATCGGAATGCCATACCTTTGCTCTGAAGAAACTCGGTTTCTGAAGCATTTCTATGTAATACCCTTTTATTTCACTTTCTGTTCTGAAATCAATACGATTAGAAAAGGCATCAAACGAGATGCCGATAGTGGAATCATTTTTCAAAGATTTAAATCCAATGGGTTGATATGATTTAATTTTTGCAGTACATCCAAGATAAAAAAACAGACGAATCTGGCAAAAAGCTTTTCGGATATAATGCAAAGAAAAAATTATGGTCTGAGCCAAAATCAAAGCCTGCAATATATTCATTATCTCCATATATGTGTGTTACTTCATAATACCAGCGACCTGGTGTAGTTCGTTTCAGATTACTTACATAATAACCACAGCCATTGCAAACATTGAACTGTGTGTTTTGCTTGACAACTAAGTTTCTATTAACTAAGTTTAATTTTGAAATTTCGGATTATACATCCATCCGAAACCTCAGCTAATTATTGACAAATTTTGATCAGTTCTGATATGAGTTAGGCTAATGCTATACTCGCATTTCAATTCGAAATACAAGTTTGATGTCTGCAAAATATTGCTATTTTTTTGTAAATTTTACTATTTTGATCTTAAATAATTGTATTTATTCAATAATTAAGCTTAAGCTGAGAATTTACATGTGAATTGATACTCAAATTCATTCATTTTGGATCATAAAACAAAGTTGATGAAAAAATTGTTTAAAAATTGAAAATAATGGTGTTGGCTATAGCAGTGCAAATACTGTTAGAATGTTTATGAAACAATGACAATACACATTTAGACTATTAACTGTTTGACATGTTACTGGATCTTGATCAAGAGTTGTGTAGCCTGGAGGAATCTGGTAATAAAAAGGCTTGGCTCCAAAGTTGACTGACAAATAATCTTCGCTGGCTTGATCGGAATGCCATACCTTTGCTCTGAAGAAACTCGGTTTCTGAAGCATTTCTATGTAATACCCTTTTATTTCACTTTCTGTTCTGAAATCAATACGATTAGAAAAGGCATCAAACGAGATGCCGATAGTGGAATCATTTTTCAAAGATTTAAATCCAATGGGTTGATATGATTTAATTTTTGCAGTACATCCAAGATAAAAAAACAGACGAATCTGGCAAAAAGCTTTGTGGATATAATGCAAAGAAGAATTTATGGTCTAGACCAAATTCAAAACCTGCTAAATATTCGTTGTCCCCTGATATATGTGTAATTTCATAATACCAGCGGCTTGGTGTTGTTCGTTGAAGATTACTTTTGAGAGTACGACAACCATTGCAAACTCTGAACTGTGTGTTTTGCTCAACAACTAAATTTTTGTTTACTAAATTTATTGTTGAAATTTAGTTTAAATAGGGGTCCGAAACATGAAAATTATGGCAAAATTTTAGAAGTTCCGACTTATGTAAATATTAAATTTTAGTAGCTGAAAAATTAAATCAAACTCGTGCCACATAAAGTCTGAAAAATTAAATCAAACTCGTGCCACATAAAGAAATCTCAGGAGGAAATTGAAAAACTTTTTGATTACTTCCAAAAGCCATTTAAAACTGTATTCAATCAAAAAAGATTTCTTCAACTAAAACTAAAAATGGCTTAAATGTAAAAATTATATAAGAAAATTACAAACATATTTATTATTCAGCAGAGAGGCCGAGTCTCCTTAGAGTATTGACGTTTGTCTTGATAGATTTTTTATTAGGAGAACTTTTGAGATGAACAAGTCCTGGCTTTGATAAGTCTATTCTATCGACATTTCTAATCTTGGTTGAAATAATTCGTAGCTGATTTGAGTTCTTATATTTTGAGAAAAACTTTACTAATTGGTAAGCATCACTGATTGTATCTGTATCTGGATTTGAGGAATCAATAACTACATGTGGTGAAGGTAAGTTTTCTAGATGGCACCACAAAGAATCTTGATGAGATGTTTTAATCAGCTTATCATTATCCTTTGCATTTTCACCTACTTTAATAGTAAGTCCTGTTTGGCTGGTGAAAAGTCTCATGTTGTACTAAAAATGAAATGATTCCATCAACCAAAAATTTTGACTGTAAAATTTTTCCTAAAAATTTTATTGAAAATTTTACAAACTGAACTAAGGGTTTCGTTTTGCTAAAATTGTCACTTTTATAGCATATTTGTTTTTGGATGTTTTGCGAAACCAAAAAAAAACTATGATATACTGTAATAAACAGAAATTCATCAAAAGTGACAGCTCTCAATTTTTTGACATTTGTAAATTCTAAATTGAATGAGAAAAATGAAATAATACTAAGCATAATACAATATTCTAGATTTAATTATAATTAGGAAAAAGTTAGTTTTGAGAGTACTTTTCATAGGCATATAGAATGAAATCTTCTGAAAAATAATATCACATAAACTCATATTATTTTCTAATATATAACTATTTTATATAAAAATCAAATTCAATGATCTTAAAAGCGAAGGATAAACCTCAAAATTTACGAATATAATGAGTGGGAATATAATGCTTATCTATCATAAAACCATATGAAATATCAATTTTTGCTTTACGCCTAATTTTTGACGACAATTAGCAAAAAATGTTAAATGTTAACACTCAGTCCATTTGAATATGAAAAATAAAATTGACTTTGATTAAATGTTTTTATTTATCATGCAATTCTTCTTGCGACCAAAGATTTGAATAAAAGTTCAAAAAATAAGATAGCTTAAAAAATAATATACGGTAGTGTTTACTAATAGATGAATAGTATATAAATTCTATTAAAATGGATTTGATCCAAAAAAATATAAAACCAAAAATAATTGTTATAATTTAAATGAAGAAGTAATTTAAAACGATTTTATTTATGATCAAATTTTATATATTTTATTAATTTTTTAAAATAAGGTTAATAAAAAGTGACACTGGATAGTTTGTCCTACACTCTTTTTTAAATTAAAAGAAAACATTAGAATTATATGGACATATTTAAATTAATTATAAAAATAAAATTGAATATATTGAAGTTTGAGTTTATAGGTATACAAATTTTAGAGGCATTTTGGCTGAGAACTATGGTCTGCGAGGTACATAGATAGAATCAGTACCTCGCAGACTATAGTTCTCTATATGGCGCCGAAAATTTTTGGTGAAATGTCGTCGCATTTCACCAAAAATTTTTCGGCGCCATAGGAAGAATTGGAGGGTGTGAGATACTATTACATGCTATAGTACTCACACCCTCCAATTCTTAGCCAAAACGGCTAAAAATTGCTCACAATTTCAACAATTGTGAGCAATTTTCAGCCATTTTGGCTGAGAACTATGGTCTGCGAGGTACATGGATAGAATCAGTACCTCGCAGACTATAGTTCTCTATATGGCGCCCAAAAAAAAATTTATGATTGTTTTTTATCAAATCTTATCCATATTATTCTATTAATGTTAATTATATTTTATCAATTATATTTTTTTAAATAATAAACACAAAATCCACTAATTTAAAATTGGAGCCAAATGTCACTTTTGCTAGTGATGCATTTCGGTATGATATACCAAATCTACATTTTTACTATTAGATTTACTGATTTCAATTTTTTTTTGGAAAAACTAAATTGCTGTAATACTTTCTGCAGACCAAACGCGATAGTCTACATACAAAAATAACTCGAAACCAGTTATTATTAATTTTGATTAACATCATCAGCATTCAAAAGATTGTCAGTAGTAAGCATATTTGCAGAAAGATTTATTTTAGACCATCCCAACCGCTTAGAGATAGCTTTTAATAATTAACAAAAATTGCAGAACAATTTTAAGTTATTCAGATGAAATACGGTCGGGATTACACGAAAAATATTGAAGATTTTCGATACATAATAGGAAAAACTTACATCAAACTTAATTTATTGGTTTGATATTTTAATTATCTTCAAGAATATTATGAGATGTGAATACCTTAGGGTACTTGCCAAGGAAAATAGAAGAAAGAATAATTACCTGCGATATTTAAAGGGAATTACCTCAAAATAAAAAGTGTACTTTCAAAACATATTATATGTCTTCTTTGAGACATGTCATTCATTCACACCATGAATCCAAAAAATTTTCTCCTTGACAAATTTAAATTTTTATGTTTTTGAAGTAAATTCAATACATTTCGCAAAATTTAATCGAGTTCATTTAGTGACTCCATATAAACTATTACTATGCTATTGTTCATTAATCAAAGGACTGACTTTTTGGCTGATTTCGCTATGGCTATTGATATCAAACAGAGTCGTGAAAATTTTGCCATAAATTAATTTGTAAGATTATAGTTGGTTGATTAACCTGAAATATCACAAATAAATTTAGTCAGCGAGTCTGTAGTTGTCCAGCAAAATACTCAGTTCAATCTCGTTAAGAATGGTTCAGTATTCATTTCAAGTATTCAACGAACTAGACCAGGTCGCTGGTATTATGAAATCACACATATATCAGGGCCGAATTTCTATTTAGCTGGATTTGCTTTTAATAAAGATTTTTCGTTTGCACTATTTCCCAGAGGAATTCTACCTGACTCAACAACGTATTATTACGGATTTATTGCAGAAATTGAGTGCTACAAACCAATTGGCTTAAAATCATTGAAAAATGACTCTACAATTGAAATTTCGTTTGATGCCTTTACTAATCGAATTGATTTTCGAACAGAAAGTGAAATTAAAGGATATTACATCAAACCCTACGAGAATCTAAGCTTATTTAGAGCAAGAAATTGGCATGCAGATGCAGGAGAGCCAGATACTGTTTCTGTCAACTTCGGAGCCAAACCACTTCATTACCTAATCCCTCCAGGATATACAGCTCTTGATAGAGATCCTATCGTATGCAATACTTTAAATCATCTTAACACTTATTACCTTTTTTTCATAAATATGCAAAATATAATTATACTCTTGTAAAATTATACTAATTTTTTACTGTCTGAATATTAATAGCAAGTAATTTTTTCCAAATTAGAATTATGAAAGGAGAAATGAAATAGTGAGCAGTCGAGGAATGCGTAGTCACGAGCATCTTCGAAGAGAGAATAATATGAAAAAGAAAAAACATATTTGTCTTCCTCCAGCCATAAAATTCATTCTTGTTGTTGATTCTACTCGGTTTTGTTCCAAAAAGAACGAGGTTCAAAATAATCTTATCAAGTGTGTACTTAACATTATTATTATCCTCATAAAATGTTAGTTACTAGTGAAAATCAATGCCAAAAATAGATTTTTAATAGATTGACGACTACAATAAATTGACATATCTCATACAATATTTTGAATTTACAGATTTTACAATAATTGCGATCTGAAACAACTCATTATTGAGTTCATCAAACTCCCTATTTTTAAATTCCCTAATTAATAATATACTTGAACTTAGCATTTGCGCATATTTCGCTTTTATATTTTTAAATATGTATTATTATTAAATATTTTTATTTATGATTACTCTAAAAACATTACAATAAACAATATTACATCTGGATAAATATAATTCCTGTATGTGGATGCTGAGCAAATTCTTAAAGAAGGAAGAAAATGGAAAATTGACATTTTGTCAAATCGAATCCAAAGCTGGAATGAGTGGGCTGGAGTATATGGTTTACATCGAACACCAGGAAAAGTGTTTTTACCCCCAGTAAGTCGAATATATTGAACTGGCATATCATCCTTTGATGAAAATAAAATAATAAGGAACTTATCAGGCTAAATTTAAATTCAAATTGTTGATCATATTGAAAAAAAATTGCCATTTGCATCATTCGTTCTCTGGTTAACAGATTAACTAAAAAATTTCATCAATACAATTAGTCAGTGAAACTACAGTTGTACAACAAAATACTTCATTCGTTATCTATTCGAATGGTCCGATTTATATATCAGATATTCAACGAACTACACTAGGACGTTGGTATTATGAATTTACCCACATATCAGGACCGAGCCGTTATTTAGCCGGATTTGAGTTTGAGGAGGGCCATAAAAATTTTTTCTCGATTTATCCCCATGAAATTTTGCCAGATTCAGAAACATATTATTGTGGATGCACTGCACAGATAGAACCTTATAAGTCAATTGGATTTCAATCATTAAAACCAGACTCGACAATAGGTATTTCTTTTGATGCATTCACAAATCGAATTGATTTTCGAACCGAGACCGAAATCAAATGATTTTACATAACTATGCCTACAAAACCAAAATTCTATCGTGCAAAAGTTTGGCATGCTAGCGAAGGCGATTCAGATACAGTTTCAGTTAACTTTGGATTAAAACCATTTCATTATCCTATTCCTGCAGGATATACACCACTTGACAAAGATCCATTTTTTTGCCTTACAAAGAATTATCAAAGGCGTATTTTCACTCTTTAATAATCATGTTAACAGGCCTAATGTTCTTTTAAGATTAAAGTTTATTTTTATTCACATTACAATAATAACTGCGATGAAAGAGATAAGAGAAGAAGTGAAGTAGCTGTTGAAGCAGTATTTCTTAGTGCATACGTATGAATCACAAGGTTTGACAGAGTGTCGAGGAAGAAGTGCGATGTCGAATAGGTCTTTCAGGAATGAATCACTCTTGTTCTCGACATTGATGCCACAGCCAAGTTTGTCGCAGCCTTTGAATGCTGAACTACCAACATTAGAGACACAAATGGGGATGTTGATCCATGTGAGACTTGTGCAGCCTTCGAATGCACTGGTCGAGATTCGAGATATGCTGTCTGATGGAATGAAAACTGAGACTAAGTTCGTGCAAGAGAGGAATGCACCTTCGTTTATGTTGTGCGTGTTTCCAGGGAGGGAGAAGAAAGTTATTGGAGATGCGGGAGGGAACAAAAAGAGAGAATCGAGACCTCGAGTGAAGAGTGCACCTGTGACAACTTCGAAGTATGATGAGTCACAGTTGATCGAACGAAGGTTGAAACATCCTCGGAATGCACCAATTCCGATGCTCGATGAGTCAAGTGAACTTCCAGAAGGAATAGTGATTGATGTGAGAGATATGCAGTTCAAGAATGCATTGACACCTAGACTAGACAATGATGCTGGGAATGCGATACTCTCGATGCCGCTTCCCATGAAACAATAATCTTCGATGGAAGTGAGAGACTCTGGCAACGAAACACTTGTCAATGAAGGAGTTCCACTCAATGCATAAGATGTCAAACTTGTCATTGAAGTGCAACCAGAGAGATCAAGAGATGTAATTCCTGAATTAGCAAATGATTTTGAACCAATTGATTTCAAAGAATTCCCTGTGATGATAAAATTATTGAGAGCTATGCAATCATAAAAAACATTTGCCAGAATTGATTTAATGGTACTTGGTAATCTTATTGATGTCAATTTAATACAGTGATAGAAACAATTATCTTCAAGTAAATCTATTGTTGATGATTCAAAATTAAATGTCTGAAGGCCCATCGCATAATGGAAAGCCCAACTGCCTAAAGTTTTGCCTTTATTAAATGTCATCGTTTCTAACTTATTACATAAAACAAAAGCATATCCTCCAATCTCTTCAATTGTTGTAGGCAGATTAACAAAAACAAGATTGGAACAATAATAAAATGCACTACCTTTGATAGATTTTAACTTCGATGCTGAAGAAAATATAATTTTTGAAAGACGATCTTTCTCTGAGAATACACCACCCATTATGGTTTCAACTGAATCTAAAACTGTGATTTCTCTTGGTTCATTAGGACCTAAATATGCAAAAATAGTTGTATTTGATTTATCTAATACAAGCGATTGACTATCAATGTAAAATTTAGATTCTGGCCTGAAAACTAATTCGGCCGTTGAAGGGAAAGTGCTCCCACTAAAACTTGTTAAATTATCTGGTAATGTAATCTTTTTGAGATTCGGACAATTACGAAAACATGAACCTCCGATGGTTACAATACTCAAAGGAAGTACAATTGATGTAATTGAAGAGTTATAGAAACAACTACCAGGTAATGATTTAAGACTTTCTGATAAAGTTACTGTTGTTAGATAAATACAATCTCTGAAAGCACTCGAAAAAATTGATGTAACTGAATTTGGAATATTGATTTCAATCAACTTTGAGTCTCTAAAACACTCATCTATAATAGATATTAATGTATTAGGTAGCTCAATTTGGGTTAGAGAACATGATTTAAAACAACAATATCCCAAGGTTTTGACTCCTGAGGGAACATTCACTTTATCGGTCATTTTTGTGGGATAACAAACAGCTTGTTGTCCATCACTTGTGAGAACAATACTGTTGATGATCTTGTATTTAGAATTGCCTGAACTAATTGAAATACTTTCAACGTTTGAGTAACAAAAACAACTTGGATAAAGATTTGTAACAGAAGCTGGTATATTAAAAGTTCTTATTTTTGTGTTTGAAATAATATTTCTTCCAATTTCAACAATGTTGATTTGTGTTGGAAAATTAATATACATAAGTGATGAACAGTCTTTGAAACATGAGTTTGGAATGATTGTGAGTGATGTAGGAAGATCAATTTGTGAAATACTAGTGTTCATGAATACAGATTCACCAAGTGTTGAAGCACTTGAAGGAAGTTTGATACTTGTGACAGAATAACATCCTTTGAAAGATTGTGCACCGATGTATTTTAGATGTTTGCACTGTGTTAAGTCAACATCAGTGAGTAGTCCGCAGTCGAGGAAAGCGTAGTCACGAACTTCTTCGAGGAGAGAGTCTGATGAGAAAGAAAATGACATGATACTGTTCCTGCAGTCATAAAATGCATACGATGTAGTTGATTCTCCTCTGACGTACTTCGTTTGTGAGAGGATCGAAACATGTTTCGTTCCAGAAGGAACGAGATACAAAGTACTCTTATCAAGTGTGTACTTAACATTATTATTATCCTCATAAAACGCCATTCACCAGCATTTTGAATGCCAAAAAATAAATATGGAGCATAAATTATTTTAAGAGTAATTCAATTTTATAAATATTGCCATATTCACCATGTGATCATTTTTATTCGAACTTCCTAATGAAATTTGATCTGTTTACAACTCTCAAAATTTCCAACATTTGAATTTGTTCTGGATCATAATATGAGTTTCAGGAATGGAATATTTTTTCAAAAGAATTTTGGATTTCTGACATTCTTTTTTTTTTTCTAAACAACAACAATGCAAGAGGTAGGGCAACGATAGGTCAAAAAGGCTTCTCTGATAGATTTCCTTGCCTTTTGGATATGCTATAATATATAGCCTAGCATGATAGGATATGATGTCAAAAGTTAGAACATAACTTAGGATCTTGAGAAAAATGAAAAACAAAAATTACATAAAAAAAGAAAAATTTTATCTAATTTGTTTTTTTGGACCGAATAAGTAATTTTATTGAATTTCAATACGACACATAGATTTTATTATTAGTAATAAATATAATGGTTTACTATTAACAAGGAACCTAAACTAATGAAAATTTGATTTCAAATATTGTATATGATTATCATAGATTACCAAAATATATTGCTATTTATGAGGATATAATATTGATTATTAGTAAATCGTATAAATTTAATAAATATACCATGAATATTGAATGAATTTCTTGATTCATAGGGGTAAAACGCGCTTTTATATGATTTAGACAGATAATTTATGAGATGTAAATAACACAATAAAGGTTATATTGAATATTTTCTAAAAATAAATCGAAATTATAAAAAACAATACATTTATTCATTGAAACTACTTGGACAAATATGAAACAAGCATTCAGGCAATACTTTTGAGACTTCAACGCATCTGATAATTTTTATATAACTTCACCTCTTATGCTTAGAGTGGAGGTATTGAGATCGTATAAGTATAGATGAGCTCACATTCAGATATGATGTGTGAACTTCTGTTTTCACTGCAATTTTGAATCAGAATAAACTCAAAACAAGAATAAAATGATATACTCACTCTCTAAATGTGTTCGAGATTTAAAGTTGTATGAATAAAACGATTCATCTTTCGAAGCCTCCCATTTAATGAGAGACTTCGAAAGATGAATGTATTCATGTAGATGAAATACTATATATGACCATGTGTGATACTAAAGATATCAAAATGTTCATTTTTAAGTGCAATAGAAGGGTTATCTCTCGTAAAATCTCAATTTAAGGAAGATTTAGAAAGAACTCCTTTCCTAAGTAGATAGTGTGTGGTTTCTGTCTTTTGGTTGATCAGGAACTATGAAATTAAGTCGGACAGAAAGAAGTTCTTTCCAAAACAGACTCCAAATGAGTTGTTCGAAAAGAACTTCCTTCTGTATATGGATAATTGTAGTTACCGCACTGAAGTATGTGATTGTGATGATGGAGTTCTCGATAAATCTAAAATCGGATTAAGATTAATTGAAAACTCAAGTAATTCTTTGAAATCTTGTGTTGTCTGGCACTATAATAACCAAAGAATGAGAATATTATGTTGAATGATGAGTACGTGTGCTCGGCATTCGCCGAGCGAATTGAGTTTAACGTACTATGAAAAGTGACAAATTTGGGCTTTTTTTCCTAGGGTTATGATCTCTTCCTTTCTGCTCAATACGACAGAAATGAAAGAATGAATTTGTACTCCCTAATTGATTACTACAATCTGTATCTATCTTTAACATAGAATTAGCTGCATTGTGATTTATACTCCAGAATTATTCAATTTAAGATCAACCTCGTAAATTTTAATCATATTGCACCAATACTCCTACGTTGAGATAAGAACATGATTATACATACCAAAGCCCCATATTAAAAATCAAAATTTAGCACCTCCATTATGCAACCACATTATTCGTCGCAAATAAGTATATTTACGCATATTATGATGCATATTCACACAACTCGTATACATGAAAAGTTATTAAAATCAGACAAAATTATTGCAATAAGGGAAAAAAAACAACTTTATTATATATGTTAGTAATGAATTACAAATATTTCTACAAAGAATGCTCAATACTTCATATAATCTTCGAATATTTCTTATTACAAGTTAATACATTTTGACTCGAACATGATAAACAAAAGCTGACACGCTTATTACTACATTTATGAAAATATAGTACGTTTCCATTCATCTGTTTACGTGTTTTTGTTGGAAAAAAATCATTTTTTTTTCTTTCATGAAATAAGAATTTTGCTGCGAAAGCAATATCTCTAACAATAATTAATACATTACGTCAACTCTGGAATGAGTATTTATCAAATATGATATCAAAATCAAAAATTAGTTGTTTTTTATGAGTAAAAATGATGTAAATTGATTATTTGACTAATTATCAAATACTTTGATTTTCCAAATTTTTTTCGAAATTGATTTTTTCATGTGAAAATTCAAATTGTTTAATTTCATTTTTGAAATTTTGAATTTTTTTTGGAATTTTGAGTTGATCAATTCAGCAGAATTGATAATGCTATTGCTTTAGGGCATACCACAAGGTGATGAATAAAAGGTGAACATTAACAAATTATTTTAAATCACAAATATCATCCTCATCAACTTTAATTCTAAAAAGAACTGTACTGAATTATGAAAATGCATGATTTACATTATTAAAATCTTTGAATGAAAATAGTACAAGATAAGTTTTTATTCATTTTTAATTAGATTTAAACGAAAAACTACTCCATATTAAAATTTAAGTCGAGAAATCGTATTTTGTTCTTATTTGTTAGCATTTTGTAGACATTCTAATCTTGAATTAATTTGTTACATAATATTATTAACAAATTTAAGGATACCCTTACATTGCGTAGTTAGAAAGAGAATATGATATTGTCATGATTGCTAAAGTTTTAGGCTCCAGAAATGAATATACATCAAACTGAAACAATTGATAAATTGAATGAACTTTTGAGAGGTTCTCAAATAAAAAAAATTATCTAATTTTTTACAATATTACTATTATTTTATCCACATATGTATATATAGTAATTTGAGAAAACTTTTAGGAAAAAATAAGTTTAATAAAAATCTGAATTTTACTTGTTGTGGGATTGTTATTAATTGACACTCCAGACGTATTACTAATAGTTATGCGTATGCAATTAAAGTATTTCTGATGGACAAAATGTGAGATTTATATCAGATAATTCATTTCTACTATTAAGTTATTCATTTATGAGTTTGCACTTATTCGCACTAAATAAATAACTATTAAAAATTGTTTTAATTAATTGACACCATATAATAGAGTGAATTTTGTTTGATCAAACAACAATAGATGATAGATATAAAGCCAAGAAACTTGCTATTAATATGCTCTACTTGCTATTTCAATGTAAGTATGATATTTTCTAAATGTTTCGTTCAGATAACTTAGATATATTAGTCAAAATTTGAAATTTTAATAGCACATATATTAAAAATAATTATTATTCATAAAAGATTAATGAAATAGTAAAAAAATCAATCAAATTATAAAAATACAACATTTAGAAGAATTCTTATTATCCTTCAAAAAGTCAGTATTTCTGCTGTAATTTTCTACAACATTGTAGTTATTGCACTTTGTCTATGGATTTGTATATATGTTATATATAAATTATATATCTAAACTGCCCATAAGTGCAATTTTTATATAAATTGTTTATTTCTTTAACAATTTCATATGAAATATGCTTTTTTAAGCGTATCAAAGCTGTGTTCTTAATGTGCATGGATATATCAAGAAAAATGTCGAAAAAAAATGTGAATTCACAAATTCACTGAATTTTCACCGTTTTTTGAATTTTGCTACAGCACTAATATTAAATAATACTAAAATCTTCTGTCTTTGTAAAAGAATAAATTCTGACAAAAAGTGCTCGTTTAAATTTAATGATCATCTGTATGACTAAGTGGTAAAAAGTGTTTATGACCAAAAAAGGGTTACATGCTTAGTCTATTTTTCTGACAGGATACTCTAGATTTACATGATCTCTATTTCATATCTCCGTTTTTAGATTCTTCGACAGATTTTATGATAGAAAACCAAGATTAACAAATTTCCAGCATGTTAATGAAGAAATCTGCAGCTACCCTCAATATTATTTCAATAATCAGTATCGTTTCTCTTACAATTTATTTTTTTTCTCAATAATTTAACAAGAAATAACAATACACACTTGGTTTTACGTATAAAAGCTAAGTGTCGAACTTAATCAACTTTACTTACTTAGCAAATGAATATTTTTGTGGTTGCGAGTTCTGAATGCTGAAGTTTTAGATTTCTCTATAAATGATATCATTGCACTTACAATGTTGTTCCAGCCTATCGCATAAATCATAGAAAATCCAAAAAAAAAAAAATAATATAAAGAAAATTCATGTCATGAAGTTCAAAAAATACCGTGTAACATTAAAATTTGTTATGCATAATACATTTTAGCTATTATTGATTTTTTTTAATTTTCGAGAAATTGAATGGTGAGTCCGATAGAGAAATTTTTAAAAATCCTAGTGCCTCATAGAAGTAATTTCCCTCGTCTCCCATACTTCCAAATGTATGCATATGACATAAACTTTTATGCATTACACAAGTGGCCAATAATATCTATAGAGTAAAAAATTAGAAATTTAATTTTTTTATATGATAGTTATATTTCAGATTTGCGAGCGTAACTTTTTTCTCCATGGCATACTTGTTTTAAGAGCAAATGATCAAAATCGTCCTTCAATTATTGAAGGAGCTGATATCTTTTGAAAATTGGATTGAAAGGGTATTCAATTTTCAAATTTCCTCTCAATTTTGGAAACATATCAACTCTATGAATTAACAATTATGTGCCTTCACAGTTTATCAGTCATATAAGGTGCTTATAAAGAAAAAAGTTACGCTCGCAAAATATGTTTTTATATAGATTTCACATAAAATAATTATGTAATTTCTAAAAAGAATATTTTTGTTCTTGAATATTAAAGTGTATTGTAGTTTAAAAAGTTTTAAATATGTTGCTAAAATTTCAGGTTTATAGCTCAGGTCTAGCATGACTTCTTCGTATGCGCAAAAAATCTGACACGTAAGGGTATCCTTAACTGAAAAAATATGTTAATATGGAATAAACCATGATTATATAAGCTATCAATGCTATATATACATATGTAAAAGATTCATATTAACTCAATTAACAAAAATGATAGATTTTCATAAAGGTTCAATCTAGGTTCGTCCGAAAATTTTGATTTTTATATAGAAGACATAGTTTCATATACATAATGAAATTTTCAAACAAATTTGATCATACCATTTATTAAGCAGGATAGTATATTAATTACTATCAATATAAAAATATAAAAATGATTATATTTAATTATTGCATAATTTAGTCAAAGAGTTATAAGCCTCAAGTGATCGTTATCACCTTCAATGCACGTATACTTTATTGATTCATAGATATTTAATCTATGTTTGACATGTTGTTGTCGTCATTCGTTTTGTTCCCATTCTTCCTAAGTTAGAATTAGAGAATACACCATCCACATCATCTAATTTGGTCCTCAGCGATAGATTGGTTCATTTTGGAGGAGTCCCATCAGACAGTTTTCGAGCACCAAATATCAAATTTTAATGTATACAAATCTTTAGTGATTTATCTCTTTTATGATGAGTAAAAGGTTTCTGCTCATCAACATTTGATTTCCGACATATATGATTTCTAATTGCAATTATTTACTTTCTTTTTATAATCTAACTCTGTGACTCATACCATAAATTAATTATTGGAAAGTGTCAATATGTTTGGCACAACGCATGGCGGAAGATACCAAACCATGCAGGGAATATGATACGTTTAAGATCTCCGAACTTTTTTTCCAAAAATTTTCTATCGTTGCCCTACCTCTACAATGCAACATGATTATTATGTAACTTTTGAGATAAATTGCAAATGGACACTAAATGCAGGTGCTCCAACAATATATCCTATCCAAATTGGCTTTCCAACTCAATTTGACAAATTAGAAGATGAAATCTATATAAATCTCAATGAATCAACTAGGAAATTCACACAAAACTTCTCACAGAAAATGACAGACAAAGTCATCCAATCAATTATCCAAGAACCTTTCTTATTTCAGTTCATTTTACCGGCCACTTCGAATCTCACTGCTACAATTAACTCCCATTCCGAAAATGATAGAATACAAGTTGACGCTTGGCCACTTCTTTTAGAAAATAGAACTTCAATTACAATAAATTCAAAGCCTCCTAACTTTAGATCGCTAAGTATCACAATTTCTATTGATAGACCGATTCTATCACAGCACTATTTACGAATATTTACACCCGTATTTGTTACACTCGTTGATTTAATTAACATGCCAGATAAACCTTATTCATTTGAAGAGATGGAAGAAAAATACATTCCTGTATAATTCGTTTGCAAGATTTCCGGCCGAGTTTATACGATTTGCCATCAAATTCATCAATTAAACCATTTTTTGGACGTTGTCATTCCTGTTTCGCCTCGAGAACAGCAGGAAATCGTATTTGAAATACATGACAAAGAAACTGTCCCACCAAATCCACCATTTTACGTTGGAAGTGGCTACATAACTTATTTGGAGCCAAAACAAAGCGAAGAGAAGACAAATCCATGCGGTTACTGTAACATTAAACTACTTCCTGAACGAAAGAGAACAGTAAATTTCCAAATGGTTACGAATGAAGGCCCAATTCCAGGATGTAACACTCAATTCCACTATGAGATCAAAGATCCTATGGATGGAGCATCAGTGTCATCAGGTGGATTTGATAAAGTGGCTAAAAATGATAAAGGATTCGAAATTGAACCTCCATCTTCAAAATTTTTCAGATGGATCTTTAGTTTCAGCAAAGAATCATCTACAGAGACATTTAACCTATTTTTACAAGAAATTATAGCTGAAAATCAGCAGAATTTGCCTGATAATGTCTTAACTTACGATGATTGCGTAAAAACATCGATAGATTTGATCACAGGCTTCCATTTTGAGACCGGATGTGAACATTTATACGTATTAGAGTCTCGTGCTACGTCTCCGAACTTGTTTTCCAAAAAATTGTAGAATTAATTTCAGATGCGCCTGAAATTATACATATTGTTGCAGATACTAATCATAAATTCGATTATCCGCGTATTTATCATGATTTAGAGCGTGTTTTCCTTCATATTGATTGTCCAATTCCAATGCATGAACTTTTAAGGCTTGATGGCTTGTATTACCACAATTCTCCTAACCATGGATTGTTTTCCATCATCAATAAGTTCGAAAACCTTCTAAATGTCAATACATTGAATTTACCTGCAAGTTGCTACCCAACTAAAGAAGAACTACAAGATTTTTCAGTCAAAATGATGGAGTTACCAATGATTCCACTACAATCAAACCTGAAAATCTCGCCAAGAAGAAGATTTTCAACGGATATCCAAAATTACTCACCAGTTACACAATATACAGAGACTGCTCCAGAAAGATTCGTTTCAGCAACAGCAGAAACAACTCCAAGAAGAAAACAAGCTCCGATATTAAAAATTGCATTTCCAAAGAGGAAAATTCGGGTTCCAAACAAACAGATCAATCATTCTATGACACTAGCATCATTCAAACATGCTAGTACTCCTAATAAATACTACAGAGTTACAGCAAGCACGGATTTCATCGAAACAGAGCCAGTTGTAACAGCAGTGAAGACAAAAAGAAGAGCCAACTCAGTAAGAAAAGATAATTCTGATGAACCGAAAAGAAATCTCGCAATTAGAGCTCCAGATACTCCAAAAAGCAATCCAAGGTTCTCAAAAGTATGAGCATTTTTATATATTTGTTTTTTATTGTATGTAAATATATTATTTGTTGATAGAAATTTTCAATTTTCTGACAAAATCGTTCCTTACATAGTTATTTATCATTTCCTCATTGTTCCAAACATAAGTTCTTAGTCCGAAACTATTTCGTCCATGATTTTGATTTGAAATTTTTGAAATTCAATAAAAATCTTCCATTTTATTACAAAAATCATGAGATATGGTAAAAAATGCGAAATAAGTTACATAATCTACATAATTTATATGTTTCGAATTCAATTTATTCCTGAATAAGGAGTTTGAAGAAATTATAATGTGAAATTATTATATTTCTATTAGTTACATCATTATATATCATCAATTTGATAAAACAGAACTGTAAAATTGACAAATAATCATTTTTTATGAATGAGTCGCCTTTATCTGATGAGGAAATCATTAACATCATTTCGATGAATAGATTACTCACAGATGAAGAAGCTCATAATGTTAATTTCGTTTCTAACCTTTATTCAGTTTTATCTTCAATAATTTTTGACGAAAAAAGGGAAATAAATAGGTTTGTTGACTTTACATTTACATTTTTAACATCACCAATAGACAGAAACATGGTATTTTCCGAAATTTTTCTATTTTTACTTTCATTATTAGAAGCAAATAAGGTATCAAAGGTCAAAATCATCGATAAAATATTTGATTCAATGAGTTCTGACGATATTTCCTATTTAATCGAAACATATCCTCAGTATAAATCCTTATTTAACACATCTATTGATGAATCATTCTTTACGAAGGAACACATAGCGAAAATAATTGAAATAGCATCTATTAAAAAGCGTAATGATATACAAATTGATTATTTCGCAAAAATTATTGGAATGTATATGAATTCTTCGATTTTTAGAATATTATTATCAAGACTAGATACCACAGCCGTCGAATGTTTCTTTGTTACCATTATGATGGACAATTACTTCTTATTTCCCACTTTATTTCAAGAAAGTTTTTGTTTCGACATAGTTCTCGAACGAATCAACGATGAATCCTTCTTAAACAGCTTCGTATACTTCTGGGGATCCCTCAATCAGTACACACATTGCTATTTCATCGATGATTGGCTTCTTGATCAGCCTTCCTCGCTTCCTATCTTCAAAATTCCATCGAATCTCATATATATCTACGGACCAAACAACGAAGCAATACTACAACCGTCACTTTTACCATTGAAAAAAACAAATATCAAATTAACTGAGTTTAATCTGTATTTAATGGGCAGATACTCGGTCCCTATATACATAAAACTTGGTTTTAAGTATTCCGAAATACCTTACATTGATAAAATTTCAAATTATTTCATAAGTCCATTTGATGTACTGAATATGGTCACTTCTGAGACCAATTTAGTATTCCAGATAATCAATACAACCACGAACACATCAATTTTCCAACTAATGAATGATATCACACCTGCAAAAATCGAAATCAACCAAAATTGTCAAAGTTTCTCAATGTTTATAAAGTTTTGTACATTGTTTCCCTCTCAATATCCTTTTCTGACCATAAACAACAAGAAATTCTCTGTTGAAAAAGATTATATTTTGGATGAAAGAGGAAACAAACTGATACATATCCCAGAAGATCACTGGATCTCTCTTATATTCATAGGAAGAAAGAATACCCAGAAAATTTCAATTTTTGTCAATGGAAAATTGATGATATCTTATAATGACGATCAAATTCCTTTTTTAGTCCAACAAATAGGTAACCGGTACATTCATCCACCACTAAAGCTACAAGTAGCCTCAAACATCATTTGCGATGAAGATATTTGGTCAGATGAAGAAATCCAAATTATTTCAGAGGAAATGACATCAAAACCACCAAATTTCCCAATAAAGATGTCCCGATCTGTTGTTTGTTCCACTTATTTACCAATAATTCAAACACTTTCTGATACAGATTTTATATCTAAGTTATTTCTCAAATTTGATGAGTTCAATAGTGATATTTTATCAGGTATATTGCCACAGATAGCAATACTTCCTTCTACAGACCTTTTTTTCCTGTTTAATAATTTTATATTTTTAATGTTCAATTCAAAAACGAAACCAAGTGAATCTTTCATCAAGTTTTACATCAACTGTGTATTCTCTCTGCAACAAAATGATGTAAAAAGCAAATTAATTGCAAATTTTATTTTATCTCCTTTTTTACTCAATTTAGATGACAAAACATTATCAGGAACACTGAGTTCTCTCTATTGTTTGCTGAGAAACAACATAAAATCACTGGATTTCTGTGTAATTTGTAACAAAAAAATTATTTTTGTTTTATTTTTGTTTTTGTTCATTTGTAACACACATTTAATAGCTGTTTATCAGATATTTACTCTGTTTATAGCAAATAACAATACATATTTCGATTTAATCAACGAAATCGCTGATTTAATTTTAATTTCGTCAAATTTCAAACCGTTTTTGACAGAAAATGAAACAAACGAAGACAAAACACTGGAAATACAACAAAATTTGTTGAATTCGATCATAGAAAAACTAAATTTGGTAAATTTCAAAAAATTAATGGAATTTTCCGTTTTATTGTCAAAAGATGTTTCTTATTCATTATATAAACATATATTCGAGAGATCTACAAAAGAAAAACAATTTTTATTCATCGATTTAATTGTTTTTTATACAACAAAATTTTCTTCAAAAAGTGACATTTGGGAGTCACTTTTTTCAACGATAACCAAAAGTAATTTTAGTTTTTTAAATTATAAAGAGAAAAATCTTGAAATTAGAGATGATTTTCTCGTTCCTGTTTTGTTGGAAATGATTGTTTCGATTTCGGAAAAAGAAACTGAATTTGAAAGAAAAATAATCGACGTGTCAAAACCGCTTTTGATGAAGAATATTTGGTTGTTGATGGAGAATAGATTTATTCCTTATTTGGTTGATTTATTTTCAGAAAAATACCAAAAGAAAAGTTATTTTTTCAACCAATTTGTTTCTGACATTTTTTCTGAATTTTTTGTCAAAAACAAAAACATAGAAGATAATACATTTAATGCTGTTTTGATTAAGTATGGAATGAATGATATTCTTTCTTACACAATTTCCAAAATCTTTGTGAAATTGACGAACAAAAACTTCAATGAAAATTTTTCAAATTCAATAAAAATTTTTTTGATGGCCGCACAAAAAAGAAACAAAGAAATCACGAAAACAGCAAATTTCTTTGAGAACATGGTAATGATGATACAATCTAGACCTAGTTTAGTGTTCGATTTCGCTTTCTTCTTCGCTTATAATATAGAAATGATTTCACCTGAAACTTTGGAATTGATTTTGAAAATGATGTCAAAAAATTTCTCAAATAAAGGAAATATGCCACTTTTTCTATCGTTCTTTTTCATGGTTTTGATGAATTCGAATTTAGCTGAACTGAAATTACCTTTCATGAAGAATTTCTATGATTCTTTGAAGAGTTTCGCCCAGAAAAATAATTTTTCTGTTTTCACTTCACTTTTGGCTTCAAATGACTTCACTTCACTTGTTTATAGTGAAGAAGAGAAATCAAGAATTAATAAGTTTGTTGAGAATTACGAGAAGACGTCTAAAGAAGTTTTAGAAAGTTATGAAATTAAACAAGAACAAAACAGAGAAAATTTGAAAATAGAAAATGTTTTGAAAGAAGCAGAAGAAATACAAGAAATGTTTCACAGAGAGTTTTTTGTGAATTTGGACACGAAACTGAGAGAATGCGAGAGTTTGGAGTGTAAATTAAAGATTTCAAGAGATATTTATCATTCACAGAATTTAACAAAAGAAGAACTTGAAAAAGAAACAAAATCTTTTCACATTTCTCCTTTCTTTTCTCCGAAATCTTCTCCTTCTTTAATCATCCCTTCTAAACAAATTTTACAAACTCCAAATTTAGTTCACTCTAAAAAACAAAATTTAGAAGAAAATCAAAGTCAAGGAATTAGAGATAATAATGATGAAGAATCTAATATAATTAAACAAGATGAAAACAACAAAGATTTTGATCAAGAAAAACTAAATTTAGAAAATAATAATAAAAATCAAAATAAAGAAAAATCAATTTCAAAAGATGAAAATAGAAAAGAAATTGAAGTAATTCTAAATCAACAAGGTGAAAATAATGAAGAAAGGAAAGATATTGTTCAGGTAATTACACAAGATGAAAACAGCCAAGAAATTGGAGAAAAACTAGAACTACAAGATGAATTTGAAATAATTCAAATTTCACAAGATGAAATCAACGAAAATATTACAGTTAATCTAAATCCTCAGGATAAAAATAGAAAAGAAATTGTTCAAAATATTCATAATGAAGAAAACAAAGTAATACGAAATACACAAGAAGAAATCAACAAAGAAATGAAAGTGAAAACAACTAATGAAAATCCAATTACTGAAGAAACCAAAGTTACTCCAAATTTACAAGATAAAAACAACAGAAAAGAAATGCAAGAGAATCCAATTACTGAAGAAATGCAAGAGAATCCAATTACTGAAGAAATGAAAGTAATTAAAAATTCACAAGATAAAACTACTAACGGAAATACAATTACTGAAGAGAATAAAGTGATTCAAAATAAAGACAACAAAGAAATTGGACTAAATCCAAATCCTCAAGATAAAATTACTGAAGAAACTAAAGTAACTCAAAATATACAAAATAGAAATCCAATTAATTATGATAAATTTTCAGTTAAAAACAAGTTTTATCCACTGATTTCGAAAGAAAGTTCTATTTACAGTGTTTCGTATTCCAATGACATCAAATCACAAATAGAGATGATTTACAATCCGAAATGTTTCATGAACACTAAATTAATAAGACTATTCACAAGAATTCCATGTGTTTCATTCATTCACAACGGAATTTTGATGATTCTTTCTAATTCCAAATATGAAAACGATGAAATCAAATTCATTGAAGAAGAAAATCAACAATTTCTTTACTTTTTATCACGAGTTGAAGAAGGAGATTACGGAAACAACTACACGATGTTTCTTGGCCATCCTTTGATTTCAATCAGTGATGTTGCATTTTGTTACGAATACTTTGGAAATTCTTCTGAAATCTACTCAGCATTGAATGGAGTTTTCATTGTAGAATTCGAAGGAGAATATAGTTTAGTTCATGGAATAAAAAGGAAAGGATTAGAAACAGACCAAAACTTGTGGACACAAGGAGAAATGTCCAATTTAAAGTACATTTTGTCTGTGAATCATTTCGCAAAAAGAAGTTTTGTTGATTGTTCAAATTATCCAATTTTTCCAAGATTAATCAAAGATTTAAGCTTGAAAAATCAAAACAAAACTGAAGAAAATGAAGATGATTTTATTATTTTAGATGAAGATAAATTGGAAGAAGAAATCGAAGTTTTTGGATTTAAAATGAGAAATCTTTCTCTTCCTATTGAAATTGCATGCGGAACAAAGAAAGAAAAAGAGATAATAATGAATAGATTTGATGTTCAAGGCTTCCATTTCACTGAGAACATTTCGAACTCTTCTTTTGTTTCTTCTCTTTTATTGAGATATTCTCCTTTTTGTAATATACAATGGGACATTTTTAATGGAAATTGGGATACTCCTGAACGAATATTTATTGACGTTTCGAAACATTTATCATGTTCACAGAGAGTTAACCATGAAATGATCCCTGAAATGTTTTATTTTCCGGAAATTTTCATGAATTTGAATAATTTTTCTTTTGAAAATGGAAAAGAAATTGTTTCTCAGTTCCCTGATTGGGCATCAAGTCCTTATTCATTTGTTACTATCATGAGAGAGATCTTGAATTCCGATGAAGTCAGAACTAATTTAAATAATTGGTTTGACATTGTTTTCGGATTTAAACTTAACAATTCTAAGTTTTTGAACACTTTTCATCCGAATTCGATTCATTGCGAAGAAGATGACAATGAAGAAAAGAAAGAATGGAGATTTATTTACGGAGAAGTTCCTCAACAAATCTTTAATTCATCACATCCAAAATCTTCTTTTAGTTTTGTTGGAAATATTATGACATTTGATGTTGATTTTGAATATGATCCTGTTTCTTCTATAATTTCTATTGGAAATATAAGTGTTGCAACTGGTTTATCTTTCGCAAGACATGTTTCAACTGATGGAAAAACAATTTCGTTGACATCTAGAGATGGAATTGTTTTTCTTTATACTTTTCCTTCTTTGAAATTTTTAAATAAGTTCTCAAGAAAAGGTTGTTACATGTCTAAAGTGTGCACAGAGTGTTTCCTTTGTGTATCTGTTTTCAATGGATTTGTTGTGTTTTGGTCTATTTCAAATGCAAGAATAATTAATATTATTAATATTGATTTTGTCAACAATATAGAGATATTGAAAGAAAATCATTTTGTTTTGATTCACTCTGGAGAGAAAATTCTCACTTTCTCTCCAAGTGGATTCCCTGTTTATTAAAAAATTTAATTTTTATTTGTTTATGTTCATATAACTTAAATCATTTTTTAAATTTCAATATTTCGTTGATGTAGACAAATTGACATTTAATCAAAGTGTTGTTGAAAATGATTATAGAAGTTTCAATAAATTTTTTACTCACATTGGAGTTTTGATTTACTCATATTATATTAACACAATGATAGAAAACAATGGCAAAATTTTTGAAGTCCTGTGTTAGTTATATGCTGATTCATCTTTCAAATCAATAGAGAAAGAACAAGTGAAAAACTAACTCTTGATTTTATCCCTGGTAAAAAGGAATTATTAGAAGACCATGGATTCACATGGTTGAAAGTATTTCAGCACAACTCTTCAACACACAAGTACTTCACTTCTCTCGAACAACTCAAAAACTCTACAAACGACGAATATTTGTATTCAATACTCGGATTCATCGACTATCGATTTCATTTTGACGAATATGGTTTCCTTTTCATGTACACCATTCCAAGTCTAAACGGCAACAACACATTTTATCAATACATCCATCCATTTAACTCCACCACAACCAGTACTGCTTCAGATTTAGGTTTCAAGCAAATTTTTTCGGCCTGGACAGAATATTTTGGAGCAGGATTTCGAAAATCAAGAGATTCACAATCTTTTTTTGATATGTCTGCTGGACCCTATTGGAATTACGCAATTGGAGCAAAAACTTATTACCTTCAGAATAATACGATTCCTTCAACTGTAATTAATGAAATGAGCATATCCAAACCTACAAATCAGCTTTGGATCAAACTTAATCCGTTAAAGTTTACCTTATCAAATATTTTTTGCGTTCGAAGCTATAACAATGCAATATATTTTAACATTTATTCGTTAAACGTTTTACTTTCATGTGTTTTAGTAATTCCTTAAAAGATAGGTTTGAACAATTGTAAATTTTATAAAATACTATCATTAACTTGATAATAAGCTACTAATTTTCGCCATATAAGTTCTTGTAGCTCATCTTTTGATCACCCTGCATATACCAATTGGAGCTACTCGATTGAAGCGAAAACTTTTTTAATGAACGACAATACCATTACAAATGCCTGCGAAAATGGAGCTGATATCTTGAAATTAATAACTGATTTAAAAAATAAACTCTATCCAAAGGTGGACCAGCAAAATTTTTGATTTTGAAATGAAGAACTGTTTGTATACATTAACAGAAAGTTCAGCTTGTTATTATCCATTATGAGGCAAAAATAATAGTAAGAATTCTACAATGCTAAAACTAATCATAAATTTCTCTGGTTATTGTCAAATTTATTAATAAATGCTTGCAAATACACTATTATGGATTATATTACATGATTCAACTATTCTTATCGACAAATTATTGTGATTGATAATGATTTTAAATATTGATTTGTCGTAAACTTTGTTTATAAAGAAATAAATTTCTATTATTATTTGATATTCAAATTCCATCATATATGGATTAAAATAGATAATCGAATATAATAATTTTTTAAGATATAAATGATGGAAATAAACAAAAATAATGAAAAAAATAATGAAAAAAAGTTAGAATTCGCCGTTAAGGAAGACTTCATCTTCATCTGGAGCTTCTTGGATTTCTGGTTCGCCGTTGAATGTTGAAAGCATATTTGAATCGTCTTCCTGCGTGAATTCAATGATTTGGCTGGAAAACTTTGTTTCATCTCCGAAAACATCGTCATCATCAAGTGACTCTGATCCTGATGTTGATGACTCTGAGTGAGTCTTTCGGTACAAAAACAGAGCAATAACAGCCAAACAGAAAACTGCAATGCAACCAATAACTGACCAAATGATGATCGTTGTTGGACTCTTGTTATCTTTGCGAGTTTGGTCTTCAACTGGAACGATGATTAATGTTTCAACCAAAGTAGATGACAAAGTAAATGTATTAATTTTAACCAATGTTTCTGTTAATGTCTTAGTTGATTTCATTGTGTGAGTTGTAGATTCTTTCTCTGTCGTGGTTGTATTTGTCATTGTATCTGTTTCTGATAGTGAAGGTACAATTAAGGTAGTGGAAACATTAACATATGACGTAGTTACTACTTTGGATTGGGTTCCTTCAACATTAGGAGCTAGAGAATTTACTTCTATTTCTGTATCAACCTGAACAATAGAACTATACTTTGTTGTATAGTTTGGGTATTCAAAATCAGTTAAGTTATATACAAGTGTATAAATTTCTGAATATGAATCAGTCTTTGTTATAGTCTTTGTAACAGTGTATCGCGGATCATCTTTATTAAGTGATATATTTACAGGCGGACGTAATGTCTGCACAGTTAATTTTGGTGGAACTGTTCGTCTTGGAATACTTCTAGTTCGTATGGGATGTATTGTTAAGACCAAGCTTGACCACATACTTGGGTCAGATGGAGTTATTGTTCGTGTATGACTCTTTGTTGTGGCCTTGGGAAGACGTGTAATTGGAGTGGCTTGATAAGTATACTTTGTCGGCGTTGGAAGATCACTTACTTTTTTATCACCACCAGTATTTCTTGTGGCAGGATTTACTGGTGTTATGTCAAATAAGTTAGGAGTTTCTCCATCTCCATCAGAACCTTCAGTATGGCATTCTCCATCCGAATTTGGCTTTTTACTGTTATATGGATGAAATTCTTTAGGAGTTTTACCAATATAAACCCATGCTTTGGAGGAATCCGAAAAGTAATCTTCAAGTGAATCCCACTTAACGCTATTTTCAAGCATAATATCATATCCACGCGATTCATTCATATGATTAGTGGAATTAAGAGTGTTTATAATTCCACTAATCATATGATTTTTTAAGAAGCAAGTATTTTGTGTAATAAGTTGAAATGGTTTGGATTCTGTTCTGTCAAACGATGAGAGGAATGCAATTCCTGCGCATCCACGACCAGCAAAATGGAGGGAATATGTTTCATTAAAATTAAGGCTTGATGTATTAAATTTAGTCACTTGTTTCTCAGAACAATTTCGGATTTTACAACTACTGCTGACACTGTTATTTTCACTTGCAGCTCCTACTGTTAATTTATCTCCTGCTTGGTTTTTTAGAATGTAAGATTGAAAAATTGATAGATCTGTATCTTTTGCGTATATAGCACCACCATTATCTGCTGCCTTATTGGATTCCATTGTAACTCCTTCCAGATAAGCATTTGATTGGAGTTCAATCTGTAATGCGCCACCAGTTTGATAAGCTTGATTGTTAGTAAAGTTGTAATTAAAAATATAAAGCTTATTAATATAATTTTCAGGGTTAGTTTTGGAATAGTTACCTTCAAAGAGAATGGCTCCCCCTGCAGAATACGCCTTATTGGAATCGAATTTATTGGCAGTATTTCCACCTAGGTAAACGTTAGATTGAATAAAACAAAGTGCGCCACCATCAGCGGCTTCATTTTGTTCAAAACGCGATGACTGTATATTGACAGCAGAGCCAAAGAAGTACATGGCGCCTCCGTTTGGCCCAGCGATGTTTGACCCAAATGCAAAACATTGGGTAAAGTTAGAATTCTTAACAGTTGCTGTGCAGTAGAAGAAATCGTAATCACCTCTATAGGTCGAATTATTATTATGGCTTTCTATAGTTGTATCGGCGTTAATTCTAGGGTCAATTTGCGAAAGTTTATATGATTGCTGTGAGCTATCAAAAAATGAAGGAGTCCCGTGCGATTTTATTTGCTGGATAAATGATAAGAATAGTAGTAGTTTCATCGAGTTTTTGAAATGAGATTTTGTAAGGGGAAAAATTTCTGTGTCATATAAAGTCACTATCAATCACTTCAAATTACCAACTCAGCTAGAGATGCTGTCCGCTAAAAATCAAAAATCTCATTTTGCTTCAAATTTGAATGAAATCGAGATTTACTACGATCATAATTAGAGCTTTTATATATTAAAAATATTATTTTTAATAAAAAAAATTCAATTTACAAAGGTGACATATTTTGACCAAAAGAAATATATTAAATCTTTTTAACTAAAACATATAATATGCAGCATGTTATTTCGAGTTTTATATCTAAAAGACACCAATTGATCATTTTTAATTTACCACATCACAATTTATCAAAATTTCATTGGATTGCAATGAAATTCATATCTAATGTGTAATGAAGTTATATGTTTTTGACAAATAATATATTTATTTCCGAAATAGCAAAAAATGCCGCTTTTTTACGGTTAAAAAACGGTTATGACCAACAAAAAAAAATCAAGTTGAAAAATATTAATATTATTAAAATAAATATCCACTTTAGAAAAATAATAAACAAAAATAAAATTAAAATTCAGCGTTAAGAAACATTTCATCATCGTCATTGAGAGATTCTTCATTATCTTCGATGTTATCAGTACCCATATTGAAGGTTGACAACATTGTGTTATCATCATCTGCATTAAACGTGACGATCGTCTGTTGCTGTCTTGTTTCATCGTTGAATAAATCACTGTCGTCATTGATCGAAGATTCTGATTCCGATGACTTGTTGTGGGACTTTCTGTACAAGAAGAGACCGATTATAGCTAAGCAGAACACCGCAACCAAACAAAGTACAGCGATCAGAATGATTGTGCCGGATTTAACGTTACTTCCGACAGTTGAGTCATCCAAAGGAATGATGATGTTTGTTTCAGTCATAACAAGTGTCATTGTGTATGTAGTAACTATTGTCTTTGTTTCAACTAAAGAAAGCGTTGATGTGTTATCTTCTTCATTGCCTTCACTTGCCTTTATTGAAGTGTTTTTCTCAACTAAAGTAGTTGAAACAGTAAGTGTAGTGGTATTAGATTCAATATAGGTCCAAGTTACTGTACTTGTTGTTTCTACACCTGATGTAATAACCCATGTTAGTACACTTGTATTAGCATATGCTATTGTTGTAATATTTGTTTCTGTATTGTTAATTTTGTTACCTACATCAGTAGAAATGTTTGTAAGATAATCTGTATGGTATTGATATTGAACTTCAGTTAATGATTTTGTGTAACCACTGGATTCTCCTGTCACATCTGTTGGCTTTGATATGTCAATTGGTGGAATGTAAGGTGTAGAAAGAGGTGTGAATGAAGCTGTTGAATGAGCTGTTGAATGAGGAGTTGAATGCGGAGTTGAGAATACTGTTATGAATGGAGTTTTGTGAGCTGTTGAAAAAGGTGTTGAATGCCGTGTAGAATGAGGGGTAGTAAACATTGTAGAAAATGGTGTTGATACTGGTGTTCGCGGAAAAGCTGATGGTGGACGGGATATTGTTGTATAATGTGTAGTCGTTGGATATGTTTTGGGACTTTGTGTAGTGGCTTTTGGAAGACGAGTAATTGGCGTTGCAACATATGTATACTCTGTTGGTGTTGCAACATATGTATACTCTGTTGGTGTTGCAACTTTACCTGTGACATCTCTTGATTTATTTGTTGAATTAGCTTGAGAGATATTGGTTGTTTGTGTGGAGAGTGCTTCATTAGTTGAACAATTTGCAATCGGTGAATGCTGATGTGAATAATAATATAACTCAACATCGCCTATTCGAATGGTTGATGATTGAAAATTACCTTTAAAATAATCGCTATAGGTTTGAAACTTGATTGTCTTGTTATATTCATTTTGCACCATTATGTCATATCCGGTAATATTAGTTAATTTACTCAAATTATAATTATAAGATTGCTGAAGTATGCCTCTATACATATGATTTTGATAATAAGTGCATTGTTGGGAATAAAATGATTTTGAGTAGTTTTTATCTTGACTTAATTGCAGTAAATTGTAGTGGAGATCTATGACAATAAAAGCAACTCCTCCGCATCCTCGGCACAAGAACTTACGAGTCAGTTGCTCTTCCATATGATATAATTTGTCTGTTTTATTTTGTTCCCCACTATGGCTTGAATACTGATCTGTTGAGTTATATTCGTTTTTTCCTGCTCGGTTTGCAACAATGCAACTATCGAATAAGTATAAATCGCTATTGATGGTATAAATAGCTCCACCGTTATCACCAGCTCTGTTTTGGTCAAATTTGGAATTAATGATTGAAACTTGAGATTCGATAGTAGCGTGAATGGCTCCTCCAGTTTGGTAAGCTGTGTTATTTGAAAAATTTGAATCCCAAATTTGTAAATTGTTATCAAAATGGTTTTTTGCCTGACCTTCAAAAAAGATTGCCCCTCCAGAGCAAAATGCTATATTTGAGGAAAATTTGTTCCTAGCTTGATTGTTATTTTCTTGTAGTAATTGTAATAGGGCGTTGCATTCGGTAAACGATATAGCACCTCCATCAATTGCTTGATTATTGCTGAAATTGGAGCCTATTATGTGAAAACTAGAGCGATATCCGTATACTGCTCCACCACATGGACCGCCTGTAACTGCTCCAAAAGCGTAATTATTTTTAAAAGTAGAGTTTTTGATTTCAACCGAGCACAAATAAAACTCTCTATTAATTCTGAGCGTGTTAACGGTTTCATTTTTTGAATCAATTGTAAATCCAGCATTGATTCTTGATTCTATATCAGTTAGGTTTTGGCTGCTATTATTATTGTCCAGGAAACTCGGGACACCAACTCCTTCCAATATATTTGAAAGGTCAAAAAGGCTATTAATAAATTGAGGAAGGAAAAGTAAGAGCATTGAATTGTAAAATTGAAGAACTTTTTTTTCCAGATTGGGTGACAAATTATGCCTAAAATTTGTTTTTGAAAAATATGCTGTATACTGATCATATGTTATTATTCAATCAAAAGAATTGTAAAACTTGAATCAATTACATATTATTCAAAAGTTTTGTTATAGACAGAAAATAGATTTTTTCGGTTTTCTCTTCAAATAATTGAAAGAATGATACTATTATATGTTTATTATATTATATAGCATATAATCATGCTATAGCCGAAAATTATAAGTTTTGAGAAGATTGAATATAACACAAATAAATTTGAATGTAAGTTAAATTGCTTGTTGTTTTTAATAGTTATTTAATGAGAAATCCAATATTGCAAAATTCAAATTGAATGATTGAAAGAACAGAAAAAGTCATTCTTTTCAATTTCGAATATGTTTCATTGTATTTATAATTATATGGCAAATTAGATATTTAAACTTGATTTTTGAAGGAAAATTAACAAAATTGAATGAATTCAAATAATTTTTATTCAAAAATAAACTAGTTATTTTGTTGTAAACAGAAATTCATCAAAAGTGACACCTCAGAAAAGCTAAAATATTGAATTTTTGGAACTTTTGATAGAGCACGTTTTTAAATATTAATTAAAGTAAATGTATATTTTGTAAAGATTCTTTTTAATAAAAAAGTAAAATTTTGAAGAAGAACACAAAATCTTCTGAAAAATAATATCACATAAACTCATATTATTTTCTAATATATAACTATTTTATATAAAAATCAAATTCAATGATCTTAAAAGCGAAGGATAAACCTCAAAATTTACGAATATAATGAGTGGGAATATAATGCTTATCTATCATAAAACCATATGAAATATCAATTTTTGCTTTACGCCTAATTTTTGACGACAATTAGCAAAAAATGTTAAATGTTAACACTCAGTCCATTTGAATATGAAAAATAAAATTGACTTTGATTAAATGTTTTTATTTATCATGCAATTCTTCTTGCGACCAAAGATTTGAATAAAAGTTCAAAAAATAAGATAGCTTAAAAAATAATATACGGTAGTGTTTACTAATAGATGAATAGTATATAAATTCTATTAAAATGGATTTGATCCAAAAAAATATAAAACCAAAAATAATTGTTATAATTTAAATGAAGAAGTAATTTAAAACGATTTTATTTATGATCAAGTTTTATATATTTTTTTGGATCAAATCCATTTTAATAGAATTTATATACTATTCATCTATTAGTAAACACTACCGTATATTATTTTTTAAGCTATCTTATTTTTTGAACTTTTATTCAAATCTTTGGTCGCAAGAAGAATTGCATGATAAATAAAAACATTTAATCAAAGTCAATTTTATTTTTCATATTCAAATGGACTGAGTGTTAACATTTAACATTTTTTGCTAATTGTCGTCAAAAATTAGGCGTAAAGCAAAAATTGATATTTCATATGGTTTTATGATAGATAAGCATTATATTCCCACTCATTATATTCGTAAATTTTGAGGTTTATCCTTCGCTTTTAAGATCATTGAATTTGATTTTTATATAAAATAGTTATATATTAGAAAATAATATGAGTTTATGTGATATTATTTTTCAGAAGATTTCATTCTATATGCCTATGAAAAGTACTCTCAAAACTAACTTTTCCTAATTATAATTAAATCTAGAATATTGTATTATGCTTAGTATTATTTCATTTTTCTCATTCAATTTAGAATTTACAAATGTCAAAAATTGAGAGCTGTCACTTTTGATGAATTTCTGTTTATTACAATTTGAGTTTAATACTAATTATCTATTCAAACTACAAAGTTTGTAATTTAAAATATTTTGTGAGATCAGATTGAATTAATTCAAGGTTCTTTTCAATTAATATTAATGACCATATTACGCATTTTCGAACATTCTAAACCAAATATATAAAAATGGGAGACGAATGTTAAATTTGCTAGACATGGGGGAGTTGTTTACCGAGTTTTAGCTCTTATCTCTAACAAAAAATTAATTTTTAAAAAAAAGACCGAATACGTTTCACAGCGAGAAAAAAATAAAAGGCAAGATAGAATTTTCTAGACATAAAGAAGTTGTTTACCGAGTTTTAGCTCTTATCTCTAACAAAAAATTAATTTTTAAAAAAAAGACCGAATACGTTTCACAGCGAGAAAAAAATAAAAGGCAAGATAGAATTTTCTAGACATAAAGAAGTTGTTTACCGAGTTTTAGCTCTTATCTCTAACAAAAAATTAATTTTTAAAAAAAAGACCGAATACGTTTCACAGCGAGAAAAAAAATAAAAGGCAAGATAGAATTTTCTAGACATAAAGAAGTTGTTTACCGAGTTTTAGCTCTTATCTCTAACAAAAAATTAATTTTTAAAAAAAAAGACCGAATACGTTTCACAGCGAGAAAAAAATAAAAGGCAAGATAGAATTTTCTAGACATAAAGAAGTTGTTTACCGAGTTTTAGCTCTTATCTCTAACAAAAAATTAATTTTTAAAAAAAAGACCGAATACGTTTCACAGCGAGAAAAAAATAAAAGGCAAGATAGAATTTTCTAGACATAAAGAAGTTGTTTACCGAGTTTTAGCTCTTATCTCTAACAAAAAATTAATTTTTAAAAAAAAGACCGAATACGTTTCACACAGCGAGAAAAAATAAAAGGAAGATAGAATTTTCTAGACATAAAGAAGTTGTTTACCGAGTTTTAGCTCTTATCTCTAACAAAAAATTAATTTTTAAAAAAAAGACGAATACGTTTCACAGCGAGAAAAAAATAAAAGGCAAGATAGAATTTTAGACATAAAGAAGTTGTTTACGAGTTTTAGCTCTTATCTCTAACAAAAAATTAATTTTTAAAAAAAGACCGAATACGTTTCACAGCGAGAAAAAAATAAAAGGCAAGATAGAATTTTCTAGACATAAAGAAGTTGTTTACCGAGTTTTAGCTCTTATCTCTAACAAAAAATTAATTTTTAAAAAAAAGACCGAATACGTTTCACAGCGAGAAAAAAATAAAACTGTACACTGATTTTAATTTTCATTTCCAGTCACTTTACTTATTATTTTTTTTTTTTTCATTTTAATTATAAATTATTTCATAATACGTTTATTTACGTTACCATTTTCTTTATTCTTTTGAATTCCATACTAGACACTTATAGAATATTTTGATTGTTAACGTACTTCATTAGAATGAATCCTTACAAAGGGTATGTCGATCGAATTTACCTAATTGGTATTTCCAATCAGATTGAAGAAGGTAAAATGACATGGGAAGAAGCTTGCACCCATGTTCCCATCGCCGCAGTAAGATATTGGGCGCTTTCACCCAATCTTATCTGGCACGCAGATGTTCATTATAGTTAGTATACAAGTCTTGGGTATGGTGGCACTGCGTTCCACCTTACCCAATACTTGTGAATTTGACACTTTACAAAACCGTTAACGTATATTTTACAACATGAACGCAAAAACTAACTTAACCTTAAATATTTACAAAGCCGCCAACAATTTCACCTCACTATCGTTCTCACTAACAACTTCACTAATGTTCTCATAAATTTTCCTCAATATCTTCATCATCAGTGTTAACCCTATTGTAGTCATACTTGAAGCCATAAACTTTCTCTAACTTCTTAACGTACAATTTACATAACTTACCTTCGTCATCGTATGGTTTAATGATATACTATTTCTATCTTTATAAACAGTCAATGAAAAGTCAACTGGTCTCGGATGTATTTGAAAGAACATGTTATGCTCAGGAAGGAAGAATAAATGTTTAAATGTATGTTTGTTATATGTTTTGATTTGTATGAGTTACTTTTGTTCTGTCATTACATCCAAATAAAATAAAAATAATTTTAAAATAAAATAAAAAAATAAATGATATCACCACCCTCACACGTATGAAAACATAGCACAAAAATAAATTTAGGTGAAGTGGTGAGATCTAACCCGATTTCTAACCCGATTTCTAACCTCTTTCTACCCTGTTGATTCATTGCTTTATTCCTCACTGTCGTCTGCTTTCTCCAACTCTTCTAACTTCTTCTTAAGTTCAGCAATGTTGTCCTCATGAAGTTTAATCTTTCTCAAAATTCCTTCTTTATCTAATGGTTGCTTTATCTTTCTAAACTGAACTCTACCATCCTTCATAGTATGAATGTAAAAACCTTCTGGAATAATTCCTGATTTAATGTATTCTACCAAAAACTTTTGTTTCATTGCTTCAGTGACTTTAGTCGTCATTTCAATCAAATAAAAATTTTAATATTAAATAAAAATAACGTTATTTTTTCAGTAAGGAAACGCAGGAGTTTTACGATTTATTTGTGGTGTAGGTTCTGGTTTAAATGTTGGAGTCGGTTTTGGAGTTGACTTTTGAACAGGAGTTTGTAATTCCATAGGTTCAGGAGTCATTGAAGGAGTGTGGTAGAATTTACGAAAAAGTGACACTTAACCTTAAATTTCCAAACACTATTTTTTGATTGTATTTTGTTATTTATATATTTATATATATGTATATTTATATATATGTATATTTATATATATGTATATTTATATATATGTATATTTATATATGTATATTTATATATATGTATATTTATATATATGTATATTTATATATATGTATATTTATATATATGTATATTTATATATATGTATATTTATATATATGTATATTTATATATATGTATATTTATATATATGTATATTTATATATATGTATATTTATATATATGTATATTTATATATGTATATTTATATATGTATATATTTATATATGTATATATTTATATATGTATATATTTATATATGTATATATTTATATATGTATATATTTATATATGAATAAATAATACATCAAACTAGTTTTAGAGTTGATAGTAAGAAGCGAAGAACAGTACCAGTAAGATACAGCAGTAGTAGCTGCTTCATGCTGCATTGAGTATTGTTGAATAATTTGAAGTAGTGGTTTTTGAAATCAGCACCCCTATGAGAGCGCTGGCGACCGAAACACCACTAGTAAGATTGTGTATTAGAAACTGCTTCATGCTGTGTTGAGTAAGCTTCGATGTCTTTGTAGGATAGCTTTCTGAGAGCGAAACAAGATAGTGTTGAAAAAAAAATTTTGAAAATCTGAGAGACTGTGCAAGAGCCAACGACCAAAACACTACCAGTAAGATACAGCAGTAGTAGCTGCTTCATGCTGCATTGAGTATTGTTGAATAATTTGAAGTAGTGGTTTTTGAAATCAGCACCCTATGAGAGCGCTGGCGACCGAAACACCACTAGTAAGATTGTGTATTAGAAACTGCTTCATGCTGTGTTGAGTAAGCTTCGATTTCTTTATCAGACCACCTTTAAATTAACCACTCACATTCTCACTGTGGTCCATCTAAAATTTGTAAACTTTATGACATAAAATTATATTATATGCAGGATCCCACCTATTACTTAATCTTTTTGGAATAAATGTTTTATAATATTTATCGATTGATTGTAATTTTTTGTATAAAAAAAGTTTTTTATTTATATTAAAAATATATTCGGTTAATGATATTATCTTATAATTTGTAAATAAATCTAGTAATAAAATAACTTTAATAGTTGGTGTCACTTTTTCGAAAATTCTGGTTTTTTCTGGTTTAAATGTTGGAGTCGGTTTTGGAGTTGACTTTTGAACAGGAGTTTGTAATTCCATAGGTTCAGGAGTCATTGAAGGTGTTGTTTGTGAAGGCGTTGGTTTTGGCGATGGTGTCGGAGTTTGTTTAACTTCAGCTACTTCAGTATTATTTACAACATTTGCTTTATTTCTTTTCAACATCATTACTGCTCCTGCTGTAGCTAGCAAACCTAGTGGGAGACCATATTTTATATAAGGACTTGACCAAATGCTATTTTTGACAGGAGCTGGTGGAACACCTAACCTTGGTGAGACTGCTCTTTGCCATTGTGCAGCTCGTAAGAAATATTCAATAGGTGCTCCATAATCGTTTGGTAAAGTTTGTTTCATAGATGGTGAAGGTTCGCGAGAGCTTGATGAAGAACTCATTTATAAGCTTTAAAAATAAACGTTCATCCTTTATTCCTCACTGTCGTCCGCGGCTAAGTTATAGTCATCTAATCTTATTATGGGGATGCCATTAGCACGCACCTGAATGGCAAAGCAACAATCCCTCATAAATCCAATAAGTGGCTTTGGTACATTTTCAGTTGCTAGTTCAATAGGTCCTTTAACAGACAATTTGTATGTTATTGGAGCAGTAGATGTTTGACCTTGCTGGAAGCAAAAGTCCACTTCTGTTGGAAAACCACATAAGAAATGTGTGTTGTCATAGCTATCCCATTTATGTTCCACACTACCATCATCCACCAATGACCTCATAACATCTTCATTAAATCCTATCATATCATTGTTTGTATTGCAAGCGTTCGCAACCATTTCATAAAATACAGGTCCATATGATTTTTCAGGTTCTGCAGGCATATTTCCATAAGCTCCCATGGAAAGCTGAAGATATTTAAACTTAGGGTTCTCAAAATTAACATAATAGTTGTCTTTCTTTCTAAATAGTGCCCAAATACTTTTAACATTAATAGGCGTATAAGCTGCTGTAAATGTTGCACTTGAACTATCTGTATTCTTTGAGAATGAACCGTCCATAGGAATCCAATCCATAACTTTAACAGGAAAACATAAAGCCTCGTTTGTATAATGTTCTACAAGTTCTGTATAAATGTTAGGGTCTAAAGAGAATGACTTTGGATGAATGAAACATTCATTAAAATCCATCTTTGTTCGAAATAGTTGCTGGGTTACAGTTGTAATAGTAACTGTTCCACTAGCTTCTATTGCCTTCGTTATCATAGTGAATGGTTCATTCCATGGAACAAATTTATTTGTCGGTGGATTTGAATCTGAAGCAAATGCAACTTTAAGAGTTGGATTGAAAGCAATGATATCATTTACAGATATAGATGTGCATTGTAATGCGTCGCTACTGAACTTTACTTTAAGCTGAATGTTACCAGCAAATGCAGGAATAAATCTTATAGCTTCTAATGGTAAAAACTTTCTAACAGGAATTCTTAAACGAAGCTTAAAATCAAATGATTTTCCTGCTGTAATTGGACCACTAACAATTTGTCCTGTTCTGCATGTTCCCGAATGACTCCATACATCTTCATGTCGAGTCTTTGAGAAAACATTACTTTCTTTATTTGTTCGGTAGTTTGTGAGTTTGAAGTTATATATGCTTCTTCTCTTGCGTTGTCTTGAGAATATACGATACGACCATTTGCAAGGATTTGATATCCAGCAACTGCATAGAAAGCGTCATCGAAACCAATCCAAAATCCTGGTGGGTTTGTTTTATTGGAACCTGAACCAATTTCTTTATCTACAATAAATTGACCTTCCATTTTATACGTAATGAATGTATTGTAAAGGTCCAACATATTTTCACCAGGAGGTGAGAGATTGAATGTTACCCATGTGTTATCTTTAGCAGTTCCAGGTTGTGATGGAATCTTTGCGTCAGAATATTTTCTATTAGTGTCACCAATTTGAACTGCATTGTCTATGATATCGAAATATGAGCGAATCTGATGAATATGCTCTGCTGGAGTAAATTCGTTTAGCTGTTCGTTCTGCATGTATTTACTTCAGATAAAAATATCTATTTACTTCATTATTCTCACTCTTCTTCTTGGCATTCGTGGTGGAAGTTGTTTCTTGACATTTTCAATGAACTGTACATTCTTTTTGTCTCAACTTTTCACTGGTGGGTCAGGGTTCTTTGACTCGGTTTGCTTTTCAATGAAATTCACGAACTTTGCAATAAGCTCTTGGTTCGTTATTGAAAGAACATCTGGCTTTTTTCTTCTTGTTCTATTGACTTTTCAGTTTGAATAGAAGGTTTTTATGGGCTTCACCCTCGGTGCCATGCACCTTAATGTTGTCGCTCTCTGCATTCGCTAATGGAACCTTTCTTTTTCTTACGTATATTTTACCATCTTTACTCTGACTTACGTAATAGAAAGGATGTTGTATTCCTCTTGCGTCATTTAATATAATAGACTCTCGCTCTGATTTTGACAAGCTCATTTTACATCGGTTAAAGTTTTAATTTTGTTTTTTATCTGCAGTCAAATGACTCAGACAAGTCCTACGGACAAGACCCAAGGGGTTATAGATGTTGAAGCATTGAAGAAAGAAATTCGCGAGCAAATTTTATCCGAACTGAAGGAACAAAAACAAGAACAAAAGCCAGAGAGACCAAAGAGAAAACTTAGTGAAAAACAACTAGCTGCATTAGCTGCTGGAAGACAGAAGAACCCACGTTTGCTGGCGAAGAAAGCTAGAGAAGAAGCTGAAGCAAAAGCTAAAGAAGCTGAAGTGAAGAAAGAGTAAATGGTTTATTTTTATTGGAACTAAATGTATAGACAAATACCTTTATCTGTTGCGTTCAGTAGTGAAAACCCTGACGTCAAAATAAAGGGGAACAGAGTAGTTTAAGTTTCCAACAGACTGGATTGTGAACATAAATGAAGAAAAATATATTGGCATAACAAATATGTATATAACACGTGCATTTAGGGAAGTTGACTTTATACTTCAAGTCGAGATAGAAAATGACGAACAGTCTTTAAACGCCCAAAACATTCACATATACAAATACTTTAAAGACGATACAACATTGTTGCAATGTATGATTTCATTTAATGAAATGTTCGAGAAAAAGTTTAACATTGAAGTACAAACTTTACAGCCTTTACGTGTGTTTTTTGCACAACTGAAAGAAGAAGGTAGTCGGCCACAACTTATAGACTTTCATTATGAATTTAATGAAAATGAAGATGGAACACATGACTGTCAGTTTGTTGTATTCTCACCATTCAATGAAGTCGCTAAAGAGAAAGAAAATCCATTACGTATAAGATTTCAAATCTCTGAACCAAGTGATGATTTCAAGAATGTTTTCAATTATGATGCAATGCTTCCGAGGAAAAATGAATTTTCAAAGATTGTAACACCTGGCATTTGGGATAGAAAGCAAGCTATTCTTTTCTCTAATATAGCCAAAGGCGTTGAAAATGAGTTCATTGGTCATACAAGAACTTCACCACTTCCTAACCCTAAATACTATAAATTAACTGGCTTCAATCGTGAGTTTTGGATAGACATGTTCTCCACTCATGACCATAACTGCCCAGTGTTCTTACCTCCAGACCATAAGGACTGTCTCTACATTGAAGCACAACTCTTAAACTCTACCATCGCAGTATTGTAAATGACCACATGGGCTTCGCCCTTGCCGCTAGCGGCTTATTTTTATCATGAATGGTCTCACTGCTGACAAAAATAAATGACCTCAGAACTTCAACTTACGAATAAAGCTTGTTTTAGTCGTTATTGAGAAGTTAAACTTTTCAGCAAAGCAAGGACTAGAAGACTTACATAAGTCAAATCCAATCTCTTGACCGTCATAAAGTGCTTTATATAACTGCATAACACTGAACTCAGAGTCTTTGTCAAATTTTCCTTGCGGAACCATTAAACCTTTATCTTCATCATAGAAACACTGAACAGAGTCAGGAAACATTTCATTAGCGGTTAAAGCAATAACATCTTGCTTCACGCCTTTCATTCTGCAGTGAAATGCAACTTCATTTAAATCATTAGTGAGTAAGTCTATGTAGGTCTTCTTTCCAAAAATATTGACTTGTATGCTAAACTTTGTTTTCCAGGTGTTATTTCTGCGAAGTCGCTATGAAATTGACCTAATGTTTTACCAATAAGTTCTCTACCATATCTCTTCTTAAATTCATGAGCTAAACGTGGTATGTCTTCATTGTAAATGTGCATCGAATCTGTATCCTGATAAAATGCTTTTAATCCTAAGTCTTCAATCGTGCAAAAACTTCATTCATAATACGTTTTGACATTGATAGAATATTTACACCAAGTGGGCAAAAGTTAAAGTGTCTGCAAATGCTTTTCGTTAGCTTGAAAATAGTTTTATCTGAACCATCCAAACCTTCGAACTTCACTATATGGTTGTAATTTCTTATAGCATATCTTATAGCATCTTTGTCATCTACTATGGTTATTTTTGACTCAATAGGAGATAAATGGTTTTGCCATAAATGCTGTTCAGAATGAGTTTTATAATTTCTTGTAATGGGTTTTCTTCTTTCTTATACTTTAACCTTAACTCAAACAACTTCTTTACTTCATCTCTTATTCCTCATATCTCTGTTTCCATCGTAATAGTATCCTTGCAAACACTTCACATTTGACACCTTGATATTTTATGAGGTCTTGTAATGTTATATGGTCAACATACATTAAACAGCAAGTGTTTGAACTTCTGGAACGTTAAGTTCTGGATTTAGTTCAGGGTCACAAACTATTAAAGGAAAGTGTCTATGTATTCCAATCTCTGTTATCTTAATGAGAACAAAGAAGCCAGACATAAACTTTTCACCAATGGTTCCTTTTGGTCGTCATCGAATAAATGTCTCATGAGATACTCTGTGCTTAACATCTCATCCTTCAATACTTTTGGAATTCCTTCTAAAGTATAAAGTCTTGCTATAGCTGATGGATATAATGAAACAGCGTCGAAGTCAGCAATGAGTTTCTTTTTGCTCTTTTGTTTAATGTTATCTGACAACATACATCTTCCACCTTGAATGCATCTCGAAATAAATTCTCTTGGTTTATTTGAGAGGTCATAAAGATTTCCATTCGGGAAGTACACTCTGTTCTCAAACAATTTGTTAGCAATAGAACAAATACTAACGTAGTCATAAACGTTTAAATCAAACTCTTTCAATAAGTCATTGCGGAACTTTACAAAACCTTCTCTTAAAATTCTTACATCTTGTTTGCAGTAAAACGTGCTATATTTTTCTAAGTCGAAGTGGTTCTCATCTATTCTGCAACCTTTGATGGAATCTATGTTTTTCATGAATGTATCTGCATCCCGGATAAACTTACATGCTTCAGAAATGACACCAGTTCTGTTGTCATTTGCTAACAAAACA